TTTCCATTGGTGCTGTGCTTTAGCTTTATGTGGAAATGTTAAATGTGGCTGACATGAGGAAAGTTATTGCTTTGGTGATGGAATGAATGGTTTTACTACACAGTCTGTCTATTTGCTCAATGTATGGATGCCACTGGACCATGTGTTTCCTGAAATGCGGTGCGAGATGTTTTTCTTAATTCTTTTGTTATATCCCATAGAGAGAGGGGTCTACTGGGTCCTTTCTCCATCACTGTACATTGACAGTAATCTCTGAACAGTTTACAGTACCTTGAAATGCTAACAGAGTGAGTGCTCTTTCATTTCTTCTCCTTGGGTGAACAGCTCTTTCTGATCAGCTAATGTTGCTCTTCCTATACTATTTGCCAAATAGGACATCTTTGCTAATTCCAGCTTCATTGAAGATATTTCAGTTTCTTGTGGTACAGCTGTAATCCATAGTTCTGGACTTTTCTGTTGTCTCAATGATTGTTTTTGCTATAATAGTATGCTAATACTATCTACCTACTGACCACCTACACAGCACTCAAATATGCAAAGAAAAGGCTAAACTCAAAATTTTCACCTTTCAGTTTTATTGAAGTAGTGAAAAAGACCTTCAACGTGTTGATTAATCCAAGATGTCTATGGACAACCTGACCCCCACACTTGTTAGCGTTCATCATTAACCAAACAACGCGACCTCAGTGCCTGTGGCATCCCTGATGTCAGGAAAGAAGTCTGAGGATGTCCGGCTGTAGCGTTCGTCTAAGGATGTCCAGCTGTAGCGTTCATTTGCCCACCTCTGAGGCTCATCTCGTGAGGACATCAGCACTTGATGAACTGGTGTGTGACTTCATATATTCCCACCGACTCGTTGACTTTCTCATCGTAGTCTGTCCAGTCCTAAAATTTACAAAAGCAAGAGTTTGTCAGGTTGCACAGATAAGACTGTAACTAGGACAAGGCGATATGGCTAAAAAAGTTATCCCGATAAAAAAAAATTATATAATTCAATATCAATAATTATCACGATAAATGTCAAATCATTATTTCTTTCTAGTTTAAAGGCTGTTTTTGCTCCTGAGTGAAAGTTGAAGAAACCAGTTAATTGTGGTTTAAAACGATTATTTATGGACAGAACAAACACTTGATGCCAAACAGTGAATTATTTAACAAATCTAGGGGAAGAACATTCAAAGCAATTATGATAAAAAAAAAATTCAACAAATACGCATGAGTAAAATTAAGTAAAAAAAAAATTTCCTGAACAAAATAAATATCCTAATTAATTGAAAAAATTAAGTGCTTATCCGTTGGTGATTCAAATTAATTAAATCAAACATTTATTGAACATTTGTTATAGTTACTGAGTAAAAATATATCGTGATAATAATCATTATTGTTTTATTGCCCAGCCCTAGCTGTAACATTCTGTAAACACATCATTAAAAGTAGTTTTCTGAAAACATCGCTGACAGAAGCAGAAATACAAATTAACAAAAGAACCTGTAGCAAAATAACTACTGGAATCCACCCACTCGACACAAGTTAATGATATCCAACAGTCCGGGATCAAGGATTGAAATTCAGTTTCAAGTCAGATATTCTCTGAAAAGTTAATATTTGTGAAACAAACAAAAACTTTGAGGGACAAGTTGTTTCCACTGCACTGACTTTTTCTTGTAGGTTGATTTCAGGAAACTTTGTTCCAGATTCTGCTCCTTCTGCAGTGAAGCCAGCCTGGACGAAGAAACAGAGAAGAGTCACATGATATTATAATATTGTCTAGTTGTTCATGGATTTATCCTCAAGTAAACTGTATCCAATAGCATTCATCAATATCATTCAATTTAGGTGTGCCAATAAGCATTCCAGTGAGTCAGCATGATTAATACCAGAGCCAAGAAATGGGCAGAACTGATGAAATGGAGCAAATGTGTTTGTCAGGCCAGATGTCAACAGTGAAAGGGTCAAAATTAAAAATGTACACACTTAATACATTTAATGGGCCTTTTTCAAGAAGACATTTTGACATGGCAAAGTAGGAAAAGCACAGTTTAAATAATAAAACTGATGGGTCATGGTACTGTGCAGGCTAGCTAACTGGGACACTTCATCGTTAATGCTGTTAGTAACACCTGTGTTTTTTCTACTAGTTAAAATTTCTGCTGTGAAAAAGGCCTATGCTACACGCACTGTAAAAACTCATAACGGATCAGAGATTCTCACTTGTGGTTGGAAGTCAATGGGCTCCAGACCTCGACACTCAAACTGCACCATTGTCTTGAAGTGTTCGCTGTTCTCGACCTGCAACCCAGCAAACACACGGTGTACGTTTCTAAAAACTCTTTTGGAGGTGCTTTATTTTCGGAACTGAAGAGACAAAACCAGGGGAAGATAAAAAAAAAAAAAAAACATATTCAGAAAACTATTAATGGACAGGTTGACAATTTTGAACAGAAGGAACGATTACAGAAAGACAGCCCTATTTCAATGTTCACATTGTCCTGCTGCTGCTTAATGCACTGAAGTCATACGTGCATGCCTAAAAGGGTGGTTCAGCAAATGAAAACATGTAATGTAACCTGAGAATTAGCAAGTTTGCTCTGAACACCATCAGTCATGGTTTTAAGTGGCAACTACAGTGTATTTTGTGAGTAGCTGTGTGCAATACAGTTGCACTGGAGACAGAAGAGATCAAGCTCCTGTGTGGATTTCATGAAAACAGAAAGGTGTTCAAGTACAAGTACAGGATGTTTGCTTACATTATAGGGTGTGATTGTGTCTGCCAGGATATCTGTAAGAAAACAGTTGACGTGTTAAACTTTATAAAACAGAAAATGAAGATAAAGTGAGTGAAATGGCATGCTAGCTCATACCTATTGAATTTTCCCTGGCACAAAGTTTACACTTCTGCACCATGCTGGCACTTCCTCTTCCTCCCTTTAGTGGTACACTCTCCTACGGAAACAGGCTGGCTACATATCATAACAACATATACAACATTTGCCAAAATGTATCAACACTAACATCACTGTTGTACTTACCACTAAGGTTACATATTGCCATTTATTTGGGACCTCTCCACAGTTTCCACACTTTAGCTAAATTGAAGGGGAAAGATACAAAAAAATTGCTTTGTATGAGGGAGAGAATGTGAGGGACGCTGTAACACATCTGAGGCCGAAAAACATAAATATCAATAACAAAAAATGACCCTTTTTTTGGACGAATATGTAAATATGCAAACTAGCATGCTAGCTTTGACAGCTACCTTCAGAAACCAGCGGAAGTCGTCGCCCAATGGTCTCACATTGGTGACATTCTCCAAAGTGGCTTTGAACTGGAGCCCAAATTTCTGTCACGTATATGACAAAAGGAGATGTTAAAATTCACCCACAATGAACTGAAGCGCTTCATTGTTTACATCAGAAACATGCTGCAGGGACACATACCACCATCTTGAAGCTTCCCCTCTGACGACTGTCCCTGCTGCCTTCAGGTACGCCCTCGTAAGTTCTGACTTCGGAGTTTTGTTTTCGGTCGAGTTAGCTACAAATATTTTATATTATAAGAAATAGTATTAAAAATAGTGTAGTAAAATAACATTTTGACAGCTGTTTTGTTTTAGAAATAGAGCAGCACAGCTTTGCTTTGATAATATACCAAATACCATTAGAGTGAAAATGAATATGGGAAAATGTGCATCATGTGTAAAACATATGTAAATTAATTGGTGATTTTATACCTAATGAGGTATATCTTGCCATGCTGTTGACAACCATGTAGCTAGTGATTTTACGTATTCAGGACGATTACACCACAGGCATCCCAACATTTACGCCCATCAGTATTTAAAGGGAGCACAACTACAGAAGTTAATTGCACCCTCTAGTGGACACACTGAAGTCAGTAACTTGAATGACCTACTTACTGGTGCCCAATGAAATATCAGCCGTCCTTGTTCACATATACTGATGGGGGTCGACACATGAATGTAAAGCTCAAAGCATTAACATCGTCCAAATAATCACACACTTCAGACTGCATCAGTTTATTGATTGTTAAGCAATAGACCACATTCAGTTATAAATCATCCTACAACCCAATCCAACAGCCAAACAGTACAAATCTCTTGGTACAAATCATTCATTCAATTGCACTACATACAACAAATACAGCACTTAGAAAACAAAACTGGTTCAACAGTTATTCATTTATTGTAACATTAGGTTAGAGTGAAAACTGGTTTCTAGTGTGGATCCTTGCTGTACATGTTAACCTGAGGCAACTTTGCAGCGGCACACACACCTGGGAAATAACTGATATTGCTGTAGCATAAAACATAAGTACACCCCTTTTCTTGCATTTCAAATCAAACTGGTATTTTCAACCTGAGTATACAAATCCTACCTTATACTTATTTAACGGGGCTCATTCTGGCATGTGTATGTATGTAAAACTAACAAAATAGGGCAAGATAAGGAAATTAAATATCCAAATTCTTGAGACTTAGTTCATTTTCATTCACAAAAGATGAGTACTTGTATGAATGTGTTTTGATGGGGACAATCGTACATCAATAGGCCATTTACCAGAGGGTCCATGCAGCCAATGAATGTAACGATTCCCACAATACTAGACTGAGCTAATACAGTAATCAGTTGAACCTTCCAGCCTTTGGCTTCATTGGTCTAGTAGTCACATTATTCGGCATGTGACAGATAGTACTGAAAAAAATCATGTATTGTTACTGCTGCTGCAGACATACAGAATCAATGCAGTGGATACTTGGTGCAGTAATCAAGACCTCTAATGTAACACATTACGACAGAACTTAAACACTTAAAAAAGAAAGGGGTAGAAAACCCCGAGATTGTCAGTACAAATACAGAGCACAATCCTGGTTTCTTCAACTCGTCTTCTAATCCACGTCCTTGTTTGGAACCCACCCAAACATTTCAGACTCCCCCAGCCTTTAGGGGTTCAAGTTTTATCAGACATTTAAAAAAAAAAAAAAGTAAAAGGATTCCCCTCTTTTATTCATTGGCAACATGAATTTCCATGGAGCAGCAGAGGCTACAAAACAAAATGCAAACCAGGAGCAAAATGCAAGAGGTCAATTTTAACCCATGGTCTCATAAGAGTGTCGCTCATACCCTCCTGACAAAAATCTAAATCCCAAATTCAACAATTACAATGAAAGTTACTAATAACAAGAGTAGTCATAATAATAAAAGGCATTTCAATTCTTTCTGCATCTCTTAAATACAAGGATGCCAACAGGCATTATTTACAGCGCAACCCGACACCCCTCTCCGCCCTGTGAAGAGAGGTGCGACGAGGTCAATGAGGCCGGCTGCTGGACTCTGAGGTGCGTCGCTGACGTGGCGTACTGTGGCCGTTCATGCAGCCACTGTGACGCTTGCTTAGTCCACCATTCAGAATGTCTTGGATGTGTTGTACTATCAAGTTGATGGCCACTGCAGGAAACAAGGAAGAGAGATGGTTACACAGACATTAAAAGTGCACTCTGTCAATTACAATTAGTACACTGTACTCCTACATTATCTGAGTCACAGGCAGTTAAGCATCAAAATGGATGCGGCAGATTCAGATTCATCTTTTATTTAATACACACCCTCCCTGTCAACACCTGGCGCCTACATTACCCACAACTCTACTTGCTCGCCAGTGGCTAATGTAGCCTCCAGCCACAAGCTGAGGTGAGGAGCGGGCTACAGAGGTCTGGTAAAGTCACTACTTTGCAATAATTCCCCCCCCCCCCTTCTCATTTTTTAAACTTGTGGTCTTCAAACCCAATTGATGTTCAGCAGACTTCACACAGCTCCCTCTGGAGCCACAAAATGCTTTACACAACAGTCTTCACATCAGCAGTAGCACTCCCCTGGACAATGACAACAAGAGAAGCTATTCCCACTCTGACCAACACACATGTCTCTTTATACTGTTTAATAACCGTCCTTACCAAGGTTATCTGCTCCTCGTGGAATAATCACATCTGCATACTTCTTTGTCTAGTAGAAATAAAGATGAGGTCAATGCTCAAGTTTCTAGCGAAATAACATTTTTCATGATCAGATGTGTGCCGCTACTTGGGAAAATCTGATAAGATATATTAAATAGATTTGAATAAACAAAATATATAAATACATTTGATGTGGCTCTCTTAAATTTGATTATTCAAGAGTAGTGATTGAAATGAGCTGAGGGAAACATTTTACAGTTAAAAGACAAACAATGTAGCGGCAACACTTAATTACCCCAAATACGTCTTTGGCCTTTCTGTACGGCAATTTCTCATTTTGACACATTAAGACCAAAACATCTGTTATAAGCTAAAATTGGCTGATAATATTGGCCGTCCCAGTGTATCCGTTGGCCTTTGCTTCACAACTGCAGATGCGCATGAGTTAGGAGCATCACTTACTGGTAAACAGAACTCCTCAAAGGCAGGTTTCACAAAAGTGATGTACTGAGCCAGCACCTGCTCCAGTTCTCTACCACGCTCACTGATGTCTCTTAAAACTGGAAGCAAGAAAGCACAAAAAAGAAGGACAATATAAATACTAACCATTTAACAAAATACATTGTATGAATACACGCTAGTATTAAGTGGACTTAAACTAGTATAAAAATGTTCCTGCTGCAACAAGTCTACTTGTGCCTTTCATTGCTTTATTATTAAATTATATAGGCGGTGCACTGCTCTACAATTGTTACAGCTGTGGGTGTTGACCCAACCCTCACCACACACCTCGGCGTGAGAGCCGTGTGTCTGGATCTGTGTCAACAAACAGCTTCATCTGGAACAGGTCTCTGATTTCCTGTGAGTAGAACATGAGGATGCCCTCAAACAGGACCACATCGGCCGGATACACTGTAACAAACTCCTCTTTCCTGGAAGAACACACACACAGAAGAGTTTCCTTCTCTCTGTCAGTGGCAGACATGGTGTTATGCAAATGTAAACTGATTAAACAATCAAGTTACAAACCAAATATTAGGTTCACCAACCCGTGGACGCAATTTGTAATTGTAGATTAAGTGTCTATTCTGCAGGAACACATGATGCAACAGACAGAGATGCTCACCTGGAATGACTGACAAAGTCATAAACTGGGATCTGGACCGTCTTCCCCTGCAGGATCTCTCTGAGGGTTTGCAGGATCAGCTCGTTGTCAAAGGCATCTGAGGATAACAAAAAGATAAATGCTCAGTTTTTACCTCCATAATTATATGATTTAACCCCAGTTACACTAGCTTGGTGTGATGCCCACAGACACGTGGGACGGGACTCCACACTGCACGTTTTGGTAACCCAGGAATCCCTTTCCTGTAACAGGTGTTGGGTTCACCCTGTAAGCCTGGAAGCAGCTGCCTCTGAGAAAGGCCTGCTGACGGTGGGGATTTGAAATCAGCTGAGAAAGTAAGCAAGAGCAAAGACGGTGCAAAGTCTGAGTCCAAAAATGGAGTCTATGCATCTGCCAAAAACACACTGGAATAAATTACCAACGTGGCAGCAAAGCTTGCTGCCGAGCGAGCCAGTTCATCTTGGCAATTTGCTTCCTTGAATTTGCAAGTCATTTTCATCTATGCCTTAATCTTTTATCTGTGTAGTGCTAAAGCAGCCTTGTTACTACTCACATACACAAAATAACTTAGTTAAAGCCAGGTATGTGGAGAAATCTCCACTTGCAGATTTGAATAATACTTTTCTGAAATCTGTTATACGATTAGCAAACATGTGCCTGCGTCATGCCAGCTGAGGTTCCACACCCCACATAGGGCATGAGCAATGCCACCAGCTATTCAGTGTTAACATACCTGGATGATCAAAGTTGAACTGGCCCTTAAGTGCCTTTGCTTTCTGCTCTGGAGTTAGCACCTTGTAGAAGCTGTCCTGGCTGAGGATGGCCACCTGCCGCTGGTGATGGTCGATCTTGTTCTGGCCCAGCAGCTCCATGATCTTCTCACATACGGACGACTGCAGAAACAAACAGAAAACCGTGGCTGTCGGAGTAGGTCACTACATTGGAAAATGGGGTGAGCACTTTACATACGTGGAGTAAGAGCACTGTAATGATAACTAGTTTCAACTCAGGCCACAAAGAACAGAAATGACTTGTGTTTAGACCGTCATATTTATCAAGACATCAGGTGGGTGGGTCATTTCCCTGTATGAAGTCAACTAACACAATTGAAGGTGAACTGCACCGTGGCCCATCATGTTTGCCCCCACTGACCTTCCCAACTAAATGAATCTCATACCCAGTGCTGACTGGGCATTCACCAGCGGCCCGAGGCTCTGTTGTCTTTGTGTCCATGAAATTGTGCTACAATGAATTTGGACGCCCCCACTAGGGAGCTGGAAGGTTGTATCAACACACTCAAAATGCAACAATTTCAGACAAAGGGACCCGACTCTGTACGCACCAAAAAGTCCAAGCCTCACTGTCATCCTACAGCATCGCCCAATGGACATTTTAATTTAATTTTAACTCCAAGCTAACAGACAGATTCATCTTTTGGCAATAACTTATCCAGGAATATTCTGATAATCTTGTTGTTTTTTGGTCATGACACAGAAATGTTTTACTTTTTAAAAATTTGTTCCTCTAGCCATATCATCTATTTATTTAGCAATGTTAGTGTATTACACAAAATGATAACTGATGGGTTAACCAATGATGAAATGTATGAACTAAGCCTGGTGATAGCTGGAACGATTAATCAATTAGTTGTCCACCATTTATTAACTATTTTGATAATCGATTTGATAGCAAAGTTCTAAACTCTCTGATTCCAGTTTCTCAAATGTTATTTTCTGGTTTATTTCCTCCTCTATGACAGTATACTGAATATATTTCTGTTGTGGACCAAGAAAACATTTAAAGACGTCACCCTGGGCTTTAGGAAACACTGGTCAACATTTTGCTAATTTTTTGGGACCGAACAGCTAAGCGAGAAAACAATGAGCAGTCAAGTTAGTAATTGAAGCTGGTCTAGTCAGGCTGCAAGAAAGTAAGTTAAGCCCAGTCAGTCCCCTTGTGAAGGGATTTCAGGAGGCCACCCCCTGCCTCAGTGACACTGTACTGAAGGGACAAGCTGGCACGAAACCAGACAAGACAGGCGAGTCTTCGCCCACGATCATCTAACTCGAAGTTACCTGCACTGCGAGTGAAGCCGGAAACAAACACGGCGAAAAGTCACGTTGCTCAACGCTTTCATTTAATTTTAAAAAGCCTCTTGGCTGCTTCTTTCTCTAGCAATTTTATCAGTTCAGTTCGCGTCTCCTTGTTTTTACAAAGCGGTGTGGCTTCTGAGCACCACCAAGTCGTCACATCGCCCACTTCATAACAAAGAAATATAATGACGTGTTCGGAAATGCCTACGTTTGCGTGTGAAGTCACTGGGACAAGACGCGGGTATGTGCTGGTGTGCCGTTACATTAGCACTGTCCACGCAAGTAAACGGTAAATCAGGGAAGCTATACGTTTAACTAGTGGTGTGTTAAAATAAAAAGGCCGGGTTCTGTTTAGAAAGATAACGTATTACACTATAAGCCCGGCCAAAACCAGATGTATTTTTATTTCAAACGTTATCTAAGGTCTGCCACAGAACAAAGGGACGTGGGCGCGATAGCTTTAAGGAAATCTTTCCCGCTGACGCCTGTATCATTCCTTATCCCAACATCTAGGTTAACCTTATTTAACGTTACTCTAGGTCACTTAAAAAAGAAAATGTGTTTAGCGATGCGCTGTCTTGTCTTACTAAATATAGACGTTAACCACAATCTTGTCTTTTAAATATTTTCTAGATATAAAAGAAACGTGGTTCACAGTGTTTACAAACTGTTCAGATCGATAAAAGCGAGCATCAGCTATTGTCTAGCACACCCTGCACTGCTGGAATTTAGCTAGGCTTCTAACTAAGCTAACATCACGTAGTCTAAAGTTAGTCGGTCCCGCTGACGACACCGGCATCTCGTACGAAAAGAGAAAGATGCCTCGGAACGAACACAAAAATTCAGTAAAACAAGCGTCGGACACGTGTGTTAATGTTAAACTAAACCGGTGTTTGGGAAAAGCTGGAAGGCTAACCAGATGATGGAGCTGTCAATCAAGCCTCAACGTTGGGTCGCTGAAGCCACGCGGTCAGCAGCACCCGGCAGCCCGACTGAGCTGTGACTCTGCCGTGATTTAACTCAAAATATAACGATGACAAGTCGCGAAAACCGTCAAATTAGCTAGCCGACATGCCAACCTTGCCGCTGGCGGTTCCTCCGGAGACACCGATGAGGAAGGGTTGTCGAACAACGTCGGCGTTTTCGCCACGGTCCCTTAATTGTGTCTCACTGTCCCCGGCCATACTTGCAATGTGTAGGAGCTGCTGCTGCGCTGGAAGATCTTTGAGGCGAAGCTCCTCCCACAACAACGCCGTAGGTTTAAACACTCGACATTTTATTTATATTAATTTATTGTACACGTTGTTTAACTGTAATAAACGTACTCTTTGTATTCTATTAAATTATTAATTTGTAAGTATTATCCTGTTTTTATTTATTTTGGGATTGACGGGGGAAATATCCAATCGTCTGTTACGCTTTGATGGCTGTCTGACCTCAGCAGCGGTCTTACAATACTAGTCCCGCCTCCGGGTTGAAATAACGGTAACCGTGCATTTAATATTTTTATATATAGCAGGTATATACACTCACCTAAAGGATTATTAGGAAAACCTGTTCAATTTCTCATTAATGCAATTATCTAATCAACCAATCACATGGCAGTTGTTTCAATGCATTTAGGGGTGTGGTCCTGGTCAAGACAATCTCCTGAACTCCAAACTGAATGTCAGAATGGGAAAGAAAGGTGATTTAAGCTATTTTGAGCGTGGCATGGTTGTTGGTGCCAGACGGCCGGTCTGAGTATTTCACAATCTGCTCAGTTACTGGGATTTTCATGCACAACCATTTCTAAGGGTTTACAAAGAATGGTGTGAAAAGGGAAAAACATCCAGTATGCGGCAGTCCTGTGGGCGAAAATGCTTTGTTGATGCTAGAGGTCAGAGGAGAATGGGCCGATTGATTCAAGCTGATAGAAGAGCAACTTTGACTGAAATAACCACTCGTTACAACCGAGGTATGCAGCAAAGCATTTGTGAAGCCACAACATGCACAACCTTGAGGCGGATGGGCTACAACAGCAGAAGACCCCACCGGGTACCACTCATCTCCACTACAAATAGGAAAAAGAGGCTAAAATTTGCAAAAATTGGACAGTTGAAGACTGGAAAAATGTTGCCTGGTCTGATGAGTCTCGATTTCTGTTGAGACATTCAGATGGTAGAGTCAGAATTTGGCGTAAACAGAATGAGAACATGGATCCATCATGCCTTGTTACCACTGTGCAGGCTGCTGGGTGTGGTGTAATGGTGTGGGGGATGTTTTCTTGGCACACTTTAGGCCCCTTAGTGCCAATTGGGCATCGTTTAAATGCCACGGCCTACCTGAGCATTGTTTCTGACCATGTCCATCCCTTTATGGCCACCATGTACCCATCCTCTGATGGCTACTTCCAGCAGGATAATGCACCATGTCACAAAGCTCGAATCATTTCAAATTGGTTTCTTGAACATGACAATGAGTTCACTGTACTAAAATGGCTCCCACAGTCACCAGATCTTAACCCAATAGAGCATCTTTGGGATGTGGTGGAACGGGAGCTTCGTGCCCTGGATGTGCATCCCACAAATCTCCATCAACTGCAAGATGCTATCCTATCAATATGGGCCAACATTTCTAAAGAATGCTTTCAGCACCTTGTTGAATCAATGCCACGTAGAATTAAGGCAGTTCTGAAGGCGAAAGGGGGTCAAACACAGTATTAGTATGGTGTTCCTAATAATCCTTTAGGTGAGTGTATATATCCAGTTGTGGAAGAAGTGTTCAGATCCTTTACTTAAGTAAAATTAGTAACAGCACACTGAAAAATACTCCACTTCAAGTAAAAGTCCTATATTGAAAACCTTACTTAAGTAAAAGTATGTAGGCTAAGTATTATCAGCTAAATGTAGCTTACTTACAGGTACCAAAAGTAAAAGTAGGCTAGTACTCATAGTGTAGTAAATGTGTCCTGTCAGTGTTTTACTATAATGTTGATGTAGACAGATAGATAGATAGACAACTTAAAATCAATCATGAGGGAGGTTAAAAGGAATGACTTCCTGTAGAGGTCTTTATTGCTGCTGAGCTGAAGGAGTCTCTGACTGAAGATGCTCTGTTGTCTGACCAGTAGTTCATGTATAGGCTCTGAAATATTATCAATAATTTTCAGCTGTTTGTGCAACATCAATGCAACATGATAAATATCACTCCATTAATGTGTATGCTGCATTTTACCGCTGTAGGGGTCATGCTAATTTTAACTAAAATATACAGAGTTAAGGAGTTTATAGCTATGAGATGTTTCAACTGCCAGGAATTTGGGCATGTGGCTAAGGTATGCAAAGGAAAGAGAAGATGTGCTAGATGTGTTGGGGAACGTGAATATTGACAGTGGCGAGAGGGAGCGAGACCAGCTTGTTGTAACTGTGGAGAGAACTACAATGGTGTGTTTTGGGGGTTGTGTAGTGTTGAGAAGAGAGGAGGAGGTGCAACAGATTAGAGTGAAGGGAAAAGTCTCATATGCACATGCAGTAAAGATGGCCAGACAGGAAAAACTGGTGAAGGAGCACAGCCACAATAAAGGGCAACGGGCAGAAAAATAGATGTTGGTGACCTTTATAGCAGGATTGATAAATGTAACATTGGGCAGGATTTTATAAGGTCTTTTTTATAGTCAGTCGGAGGGAGAAACTGGACACTCTGTGTGTTCAGGAATCATGGCTGAAGATTCTGTTTAGATTTTGTTTTGTATGAATATGTGGCAATTAGGTGTGATAGGAAATATGGGGGAGGAGGAGGCTGAGTCACATTTATTAAACAAGAAACCCCTTGCAGAGTACTGGGTATCGGAAAAAAAACTGGAGTATGTGGTGGTGGAAATGTAGGTGGGAAGTAAGCAATTAGTGGTTGTGAATTATAACTCTTGCAAGAGAATATACTTAAACAAACCTGAAGACCAAGAAGGTCAAAGCAAGCACTGTGTGGTGTGGGGACATAACCCGCTGGGGGAGTGAGAAAGCTGATGCTAGTGGCCAGGTGATAGAAGACTTGTTAGATGAGAGGAATTTAGGCTTCTTAAATGATGGGAGTAGCCTACAAGAATGTTAACACAGGCAAGGTGTCGACACTGGATCTTACATTGTTTTCAAATAACATTGCAGCCAAATTCAATTGGAAAGTGTACCAAGAGGGAACCATGTAGTGACCATTGTCCTGTTTTATGCCAGATAAAAATATCAGTGACTGAAGTGGACAGGGGTGGAAAATGGGTGTTTGGGAAAACTGAGGATTTTAAGGAAGAGAGTGATGAATATCTTAAACAGATACAAAAAGCTCATTCATTGGCAAGGTGGACAGGCAAGAAGGACATACTGGAGAAAGTTTTGTGACTCGATTGGGAACACAACCCCAGTGGGAGAAGCATGGGGAATGATCAAAAAGAGGGGGGGAAGGGACAGAAGGGACTGGAGTTATCCTGTGCTAACAAATGGAAATGAAATAGCAGCTGCTAATAAAGAAAAGGCTGAGTTACTGGCTAACACCTTTGTTAGGGTACACAGTTCTAATAATTTGTCTGAGGCAGGAAGAAGGAAAATGGAGAAAATAGAATCTGAAAACAAGGAAGGGAAAGGAAAATACTGGAGATGAGCAGAGTGTTCCATTTACTTTGGGAGAGTTAAAAAAGGGGCGCTGGCTAAAGCTGACTGCACCAGGGAAGGTTGAAAAATGCTATGTAATGATAAAACACTGTGCAGAGGGACTAAACAACTGCAGATTCCTGCGTACATGGCTATTATGGGTAATCAGACACAGAAAAAACTAGCCAAACAAGATGTTAAAAAAGAAAACAGACACCGCAGTTAAACATTCAAAGGGAAAGGGTTTTGCATGGAAGGAAATAAACAGCTGCAGTGGTGACCAGGATACAACTGCAGCATGTCAGAGTAGATTTAGGAAAAGAAGGGGTAGTTTGGATCCAGTAATATGTCTAGAAGATGAAGTAAGGAAGGTGCAAATTAAGGTGGGGGCTTCTGATAAAGCTACATGCAATGGGAAATGGAGGTAATGTTTTTAACTGGATAACTGACTTTTCAAATAAAAGGTAGAGGTGATTTGTCCGACAAGTATGAGGTCCTACATTATTCTCTATTACGATAAATGACATATTCGGAAATGTACCATTAGATATGGGAAAATCATTATTGGCAGATGATGGGGCTTTATGGAAAAGAGGGAGACATTAGAGCCATATAGGTTGTTTTTTTTCAGTTGAAAAGACTAAAGCAATCTTCTTCGCAATAAAGAGGGTTAGACTAAATACTCATTTGATATTATATGGAAATAATTTAGAAACAGTTGAATTGTTTAGATTCTTAGGAGTATAATTTGACTCCAGATTAACACGGAGGGATCACATTCAAAATTCAAAAGTATTGTGGATATATGCAAAACAGTTGTAAATGTGATGAGATGCCTTGTAGGGTTGGACAGGATAGATAGATAGATAGAAAGATAGATTCAGGCTCGGGTCCTCAGGTTGGAAACAGCTCAGAGTGAACTATTTGATGAATTTGAGAGTACCCAACCAAAAAAGTGCTACAAGCCTGCTGGGAAAGGGAGGGAACAGGAAAATCAAGCTAGACGGAAGATGCAGCAGACATGGGAGTGTATGGAATGACATTTTGTCCAACAGGGGTGTGACCTACAACCCCTGTGTGGGTGACCACTGGTGGTAGATTTAGAGTTACTTCAAGTTAAGGTAATAAAGAAAAGTGCTAATTTGGTACATTAGTTCTACAGTTAAATGAAAGGAGAAAGGACTTCAAACTTCTTAAGTGTAAACACAGTTGAGTTGTACACCATTTGGTGGGCTGAACAAGGAAAACAGAGCTCTAATCTGTAGGGACTCTCAGCATCTGCTCGGTGCAGCCTTAAAGCTACGTATACATCTATACATCCAGTAATCGATCCAAGACCTACTATTTGAAATAATGGAAAAACTCATAAGTAATTTAACAATACAATCACGCTCATTTGGATTCCTGCGCACATGGGCATTATGTATTTATTTATTAATATTAAATTAGGGACAAATGCATAAGACATAGCTTTATAAAGTATACAAAGTAGATACCATGCATATAGGATTCTAGCCATAACTAATTTGCAACTTCTGTCCCTGTTTATGATAGAGTGGACAAATTAGCCAAACAAGATGTTAAAAAAAGACACCACAATTAAACATTCAATATCAGAGAGAAAGGGTGTTGCACGGACAGAAAGAAATAAAGAGTAGCAGCAGCACTGGGATCAGGAGATAAGAGGAAGACAACTACATGCAATACAAACAGTGAGTGGGTATTAAGAGAAGAGTGGAAGAACTGGAAAAGAGGAGGTAGATTAGATCAGTAGGTATGCACAGTAACTTGAACAGAGAGGGAAAATCTGACAGTGCGGACGATGTAAGAGTTAACTAACTCCAGAAGATGGCGGTAACGTTAATGCCAGTCAAAGGATGCAAGCTGCCATTAGACTTCAAAAAAGAAGAAGAGGCTTGGAAAGTAAGCAGGTTTGAGACCCATAACGTTATACAGTCTATGTTTAAGACTCAAATACAGGTGAAGGTGAAACTTCACAAATGACAAGCGGAGGGAGCACTTTTTCATTGTGATTTCTGCATTATTGTGTTTTAAATGTATCTGCGTTTGTATATGTCTGTATTGAACTGTCTTGTAAAACTCGACAGAGTTTTTGTAGCTAGCATGTAAGTAACGTTTTGTACACTCGCTGTAAGTTTACTAGTGCAAGATAACGTTAGAGGTGAAACTTCTGTGACGTCTTCGACAGCGTTGTACAGTTTTCGGCTAAACTTAGAGCAACAGAGCCAGCTTCAGTCACGTAATGCTCCAGAGGCTCGTTGCGTCCCTGCGGCGCCCCGATGCTGCATCTCCCCTTGCGGCGTCGGTTAGATGCCTGTCCTCGGGCTCAGTGGACATCACGGTCCCGCTGAACTTCTGGGCCGGCAAGAGATGGACGAGCCAAGAGAAATGCAACAAGGAGAATGTTTACGAACCTGCGACAGGTAAGCCACACAATTCTTTGTTTGTTTGTTTTACTTTATTGACACTGTTTGCTAACTGGACTTTGGTCACTTCTGTGTGTGTATGGAAAGCAAATCAATATCAGACATTTTAACGGGTTAACTTAACTTCCTGACTTTTTGAATACGTTCAAGTTATCTTTCTGCGTAACACATTTATATATTTCACATTTACTTATTCAAGGAAAGTCAACTGTGCACACTCTCTGTTATTCAGCAACACACTCCTTTATACTAACCCATATCCATTTAGTGTCTGGTGACCATTTTCATGTGCAACCAGTTCTGTGGCCCCTGAGCAGCTTCAATGGGGCAAAACCAATTCATATGATCACATCCTAGCTATTATTGCTTCCTCTGTACCCTGTACATTGTCGCTTTGAACCAGTATTAACTAAACAAACAGGCAAAGTGAGATGGCATTGACAGCATTTTGTGTTAACTGTTGTCACCATAATATGTTTCACTTTGCAGGGCGAGTCTTGTGTCATTTGGAGCCATGTGGTGATGTGGAGGTCAATCAGGCTGTGAAGGCTGCCAAGTCAGCCTTTGGCCATTGGAGCAAAATGTCTGGGATGGAGAGGGCGAGGATCATGATAGAAACTGCTCATATCATTGAGGTGGAGGTTTTGTTGTTGTTTATTTGTATGCTACTCCTGAGAATATGTAAATTGACAAAAAGACCACATAAGAATATTCCAGTATTCGAGTATTTTGATCATAGGGTCTGGTTTCCTTAGAGCTTTCAGTGTGCTGGTAATGCAATGAAGGCTTTCTTTTGTCATGCAGAACAAACGTCTTTAGAATGGGAATCACTATACGCTGTTTACATGTAATGTATAAAATTGTTATATAAAGGGTTGCAGCCTGTTTCACATAGTCATCATCTTTCGTGTCCCAGCTGAACATTTGAAGACATCAACACTCACTCAACACTTAACTACACATCTTCCTTTGTGATTTGCACAAATGTGTCATTGAACTCAACAGGGGATAATAGCTTCTACCTTAAGTAATTTAACTTCATGAAAATAGTGCCCTGCTTTGTACATCTAGTAATGGATCTGGGATGTTGTGCAACAATTACACTAATGAAATGTATTACACTCACCCTGGCTTTCATGAACAGAGAAGGAGAGAGGAGATAGCTGAAATGGAGGTGGTCAATAACGGGAAGTCCATCACAGAGGCCCGTCTGGATGTGGACTCTGCCAGACTGTGTATAGAGTATTATGCAGGGCTGGCCAGCTGTCTGGCAGGTTGGTACAGTACAACACTCACTGTTTTCCCACCTTTCAAGAGTCTGGAGGAAAATAAAATAACTCATGCAGGCATGCCAGGCAGCAAATGCACTCAATATTATGAACTATGTAATCTGTATTGATCAAATTAACATAATTCATCTTAAATACTGACTGAAAGTCTTGCTGTCAAATGTGTTTGTTGAAGAAAAGGCTTTTTACAAACATGTTATAACATACATTATTCAAATTTCCACTGTCGGCACTTTTTAAAACCAAAATCTTAAAAATGTGAAAAAAAAATTTAAACCATCAACTTGTTTTACCATGTTTATGCTTTCTCCTTTCATTTATCAAGGCCAGCATGTCCAGCTGCCTGGGGGATCCTTTGCCTACACTCGCAGGGAGCCTCTGGGAGTCTGTGTCGGCATCGGTGCTTGGAATTATCCTTTTCAGATAGCTGCCTGGAAATCAGCTCCAGCCCTGGCCTGTGGTATGGGATACTTCTAAAGTTGTCAAGACATGTATATTATTACCTCTATTACACTTACATGATTTACTCTGTGAGGAAGGGTAACATTATGGTTAGCTTTGTTTGTTTATTCAGCAGAATATCTCAAAAACAACCATACGGAATTAAATTACATTTTTTTAAGTTCGACTGTGGAACATGGTTGTGGGGGGGGGCTGGCCTCTTTAGGTCAAATTGTTGAAGAAGTTGATGCTGGTTCTCAAAGAAAGGCAAAAGGGAGACTGACATTATGACCAGCAGGTGATGATAATGTTATGGCTGATCGGTGTATGTCACAGATTATCCACTGAAACACTTTCTACAAATGTGGTTTACCATTTTTTTCTGTTATTTCTTATCAAGTTGCTCTTGGCTCGACATATTTGTCATACACTGCTATAACTCCTTAACATATTGTACAATTGCAGCCAAATGTCAGTGAAAGGTAATGGCACTTCCCCTTTAGATGGCACTACAGCAACATATTGATTGAAATGGTCATGAGTCTTTGTCTTCACGCAAATCTTCCCAATTCTTTGATGTAACAAGGCCTAACATTCACAATTTTAGGTATTGCCCCAAAATCACAGCAGCATGTCTAACTCAACTTGACAAAGGTATTATCTCCTAGTCCTTTCTAGTTCATTAGACGAGTCAAACAATAAGAGTCTTACTTTCTTTTGTTTTTCTCATGTGTCTGTGATCTAAAATAGGTAACGCCATGGTGTACAAGCCATCACCACTGACGCCTGTGACAGCAGTCATGCTGGCAGAGCTCTATGCAGAGGCTGGAGCTCCAGAGGGGCTGTTCAACGTGGTGCAGGGCGGCCAGGAGACTGGCAGCCTACTCTGCCACCATCCTGACGTTGCTAAGGTGTCCTTCACTGGGAGCGTGCCAACAGGCAAGAAGGTCTGTTTTACTTACATGGTAGAAAGCTTTTCTTGGTTTTATTAGTGTGAGACATGAAATAAAAAAAACACCACTCACTTATAAAACACCTCAGTTCAAACCTCTCGCGATTGGGAATTGTGAGGATTTAGTATTTGTAGATTTAGCGTTAACAATGTTGCAGTCTGTCTTTTCCCTCCTAATCTGTGATGTGACCAGAGCAATCAATGGATATTCTTCCATGTGGCTTTGACCCACAGATTATGAAGATGGCATCCAAGGGGGTGAAGCCTGTGACTCTGGAGCTTGGGGGGAAGTCTCCTCTGCTCATCTTTCAGGACAGCGATCTGGAGAATGCTGTGAAGGGCGCTCTCATGGCCAACTTCCTGTCTCAAGGCCAGGTAGAGAGTGCGTTCTGCTTTGGATATTATATGTTGTATTTTCATATGCTGTCAAATTCTTCATGTTCTTTATGTGCTAAAATAATCCAATCTACATGTAGAAGCATAGTGTTTGATTTGATTAAATGTATTACAGGTCTGTAGCAATGGTACAAGGGTCTTTGTGCAGAAGGATATTCTGCCTGAGTTTTTGGAGGAGGTGGTGAAGAGGACTGTGGCGATCGAGATTGGAGATCCACTACTGGAGAGCACCCGAATGGGAGCACTGGTCAGCCGGCCACACCTGGAAAAAGTTTTATCCTTTGTCGATCAGGCAAAGAAAGAGGCAAGAGTCCTGATAACTTGTGGTTTGTCAGAAGAGTAAGTCAAGAGGTTCACGTGCAGCAACTTAAATTTAGACCTTGATGTAAATTGTTGTCTCTAGGGAGCTAAAGTGTTGTGCGGAGGTGAACCTTTTGTACCATCAGATCCCAAACTCAGAGGTGGATACTACATGACTCCATGTATATTGAGTAAGACTTCAATACATTCTTTCATAATTACAATACATTCAGAAGAACTGTTCCCTTTTTTTGTAGTGTTACAGACTATTTTATTCCTTTTTATTATATTTTTGCTGCAACATCACATATTGTTAAATATGACAATAAAAGTCAAAGGGGATTCATCACTATCTAAATACACTTTGTGGTCCCACCAGCATTTTCACGTTCCTGTCCTTTCTTTTTTTTTCATCCTGTAGGTAGCTGTACAGATGAGATGACCTGTGTGAGGGAGGAGATCTTTGGTCCTGTCATGTCTGTGTTGTCCTTTGAAACCGAAGAGGAGGTGCTGCAGAGAGCCAATGAGACCACCATGGGTCTGGCTGCAGGAGTTTTTACTAGGTAGGTCTGTGGTGAGACGATCTAGAGCAGCTTCACTGGTTATTAAACAGGATTTTTGACCCATGATTGTCTTAAACCTTTCTGAAACATCTAGATTGTTCAAGTTAAAAGTAGCAAAACGGCGAGTAGTCGAAGCAAAGGGGTAAAATATGACAACTTGCCAATTGACCTCGTTTATGTCTGTAGGGATGTGAGGCGAGCCCATCGTGTGGTTGAACAACTCAAGGCTGGTTCCTGTTTTATAAACAACTACAACATCACTCCTGTGGAGGTGCCCTTTGGAGGCTTCAAAATGTCAGGTACAGTCCTGTTGTTCACCTGCTGCAGACCAGGAGCCAAATCACTGACTAAGTTATTTGAGTTATTTAATTGTAGTGAATATTCCTAAAAGAAAATATGACAGTACTCCTTTGCAAAGTCTACTACAGCATCATCACAAAACAACATTAGTAGCTGATCTGATCATTGTGGCGAGTATTTCCTTCTTTAAAAAACTAGTTTCAATACTCCCCTTTCACATTAGTATAAGTGGACGCAAACTTACAATCTTTACATTCACCAGGCATAGGCCGGGAGAACGGCCAGGTGACGATTGAATACTATTCCCAGCTGAAGACTGTGTTCGTGGAGATGGGAGATGTGGACAGCTTATTCTAAGACACACATTGAGAAGAAGATGGAGCTGTAACACTGACCCAGAGACTGAAACTAAAGGGTCTGGACCGGAACAACACTCTCATCACTCAGGAAAAGACCATCAGATGTTAGATGAGAAACACACATTGATGAAGGGAGCTCAAGTGTGTTGTTTAAGTGAGCAATGTTATTTTTCATTCTTAGGTAAATGTCACACAGAGACAGATACACACGTTCAGTGTTATCATTTGTGCCAAAAAGATCAAATTAAAGATTGTTCTTGATTGATTTCAGCTACTAAAGCTTAGATATGAGTTGCACATTGTGAAACATGATTTGCACTGTATGTTTTCTTTCGCAATACATTCTGTCATCCATGTATAGAATAACATTTTTACAATGTTGTACTAAAATGTTTATGGATTAAGTCACACTTTATTTCTTGAACACATTTTATACACAGAATACTAAAAAATGAAGCACTTTGAACATTGTTTTGATTAAATTAATCTAGATTGTACACTTCATGTATACTTTTTGTACGATGTTGTCTACATTAGAACTGTGACAGTGACATCCTGCCTTGTGAGTAGAGATAACAATGTCATGAACCTGTCAAACAAACTTTCTTATCAAAATAAATTGTAACATAACATAAAACAAGTGTTTAACTTTGCATTAAAATTAAGAAATAGTTCATGTTTGTGTTTACATTACACAGGTTTTGTATTGTGCAATACCAGTGCTAAATTCTTCTTTTCTTCCTTGCCAGATTCTTGGCAGCTGCTTTTCTCTAAAATAGACAAAAAAAGATAATCACCTGTCCTGTTGGGTTAGTGTTAAAACTACTATTACAATTCATGAGAAGCTCTAATGTGTCATATTCTAATACAATCATGCCTCTAGTTCAACTGTACCTTTGCCAGAGGTCTTGTAGGTTTCTTGAACTGTGCAGACTCTGTTTAAAGGGAAGTTAACAGTGTAAAGCCATTGTTTAAATTTATAGTTTTGTAACAGTAGCTCCACCGACTTACCGTCTTCAGAAGGTAGATCCTCTTCCTCCTGTGTTTTCTTACAAGGGTCCTGTAACGAGGTGTTCACAGACAGTTAAATAAACTGACAGCAAACTGTAAAAAAATGTTTCATCCATGAGAACTGAAAACGTAACATGAATGAGCTAGATTTAATCTTTTTCGAGAAAATGACAACAGCAAAGAAAGAGCGAAATCTGCTTGATTAGACGACTACGTGTCTATAACTGAAATCCAGCACTTGAATAATCCTCCATCTGGACCCACCTTGATCCTCTCTTGAGGATTTCTCAGGGAAACTTGCTTGTTCTCCTTCAGGTGGTTCCCTTCTTGAAGCTTCTCCAGCCTGCCTTGTTCTGCCGAGACACGCACTCTCAAGTTGTGGAAGGCCGTCTGCACCTCACCCACCTTGAAGTGCACGGCCATGCCTTCAAACCAGAGGCTGTCGCATTCGCCCTCCTTGAAGCCTGGTGGTTGGTAGTCGGCAGGGGTGACTTTGAAAGGAGAGCGGGCGAGATGTTTTCAATTATGCAGATGACACATTTTTTTTTACATAACCATATCACCAAGGGACTTTGATCCCATACAAACGCTGAGTAACTGTATTGAACAGGTCAACGATTGGATGTGCCAGAATTTTCTTCAATTAAACAAAGATAAAACTGAAGTTATTGTTTTTGGAGCCAAGGAAGAACAACTGAAAGTCAGTACTCTGCTTCAATCTGTAATGTTAAGAACCACAAATCAAGCCAGAAATATTGGTGTAGTCATGGACTCAGACCTGAATTTGAGGAGCAACATTAAGACAATTACAAAGTCAGGCTACTATCACCTGAAGAATATATCAAGGATTAAAGGACTTATGTCTCAGCAAGACTTGGAAAAACTTATCCATGTATTTATCTTCAGTCGACTCGACTACTGTAACAGTGTCCTTACAGGGATCCCTAAGAAATCCATCAGACAGCTGCAGCTGATTCAGAACGCAGCTGATCGAGTCCTCACTAAGACCAAAAAGGTGGATCACATCACTCCAGTTCTGAGGTCTTTACATTGGCTTCCTGTGTGTCAAAGAATTGATCTCAAAATCCTGCTGTTAGTTTATAAAGCACTAAATGGTTTAGGGCCAAAATACATTTCTGATCTTCTGCTTCAAATTGAACCATCCAGATCTCTCCGGTTGTCTGGGATCAGGTCTGCTTTCTGTCCCCAGAGTCAAAACTAGAATAGGAGAAGCAGCGTTCAGTTATTATGCTCCGTATATCTGATAAACTCCCAGATAACTGCAGGTCTGCTGAAACTGTCAGTTCTTTTAAATTAAGCGGAAGACTTTTCTTTTTACCACTGCCTTTAATTAAATTAAATTTAAAGCCGTAGATTGCACTGTAACGTTTACTGTCCTGTTTTACCCTGTTTTTTATCCTGTTTTTATTTTCTATTACACCCTTTTCAAAATTATATTTTAATGTGTTTTATTTTTTCAATTTCCCTGTTGCTTTTATGTTTAATGTAAAGCACTTTGAATTGCCTTGTTGTTGAAATGTGCTATACAAATAAACTTGCCTTGCCTTGCCTATGCATCCCCCCACCAAAGAAATTACACAACACTCTTAATTGATTACCATTTTGTTCGGCTGAGACATTAATGCGTCTTACTGTCATCGTAATAGTAGAGCTTCATGGTGAGGTAGACCTTGTTGGGAAGGGCGTCCAGGTTCTGCATGAGCAGGAAGAGCTTCCTGATGAGCAGCACCGAGGCTCTCTTTGTGTCCTCCAGCGGCACCTGCATCTCCACATCGTTGTTCCTGCGATTTTCACGAAGGTTATATCACCATCAATTCAGTCACATGTGGAGGTCCTATCCAAAACACTGATGCAAACATAGAGTGTCCATTCAAACCTGAATATGTCCATCTCTGGCCCCTTCTCAGTGTATTTGAATTTGAACTGGTATGACTCAATAATGCACTGCAAAATAGAAAAAGACATCTACACGTTTCTTAATGTTGATCAGACTGCACAGGGGAGGTATGATTTAACAAAGCATGCCATCATTGTGTTTCAGTTAATAATCTGATAATGATTTTTTAGTATTTTAAGAAAGAACTTACATTGGGTTCATCTGGATTGGTGTACACCTAGATGTCAGAAACATGTTGCACAGGGTTATTGGCGCCAACTTTCTTTCTCTATGTAAGCAATGTGTTAACTTTAAATGTTGCTGTACCAACTTAATTTTCTTACCCCAATGTATACAATCTGGAGCTGTTAAGAGGACAACATTGAACAATAGTAAAACTAATGGTAGTATTGATCAAAATAAGATGAAACATTACAAATTCAATGTATTCATAGATGCATTAACTTACATACTGCTTCTCTAATGCATCGAAACAGCCCATCATCCTGGAACAAACAGTAGTGGGTGAAAACATCAATTAGGATAGGAAAGTGTGGCCAGCAGACTTAAGTACAACTGTACTGTCTGGTAGCATATTATAATTACCATTTCACAACTTTGCTGGCACCGGGGGTGTTGCAGTCTTCACGCAAGACTTTGATGCACAAATCTGGTGATATGACAAACGCAAAAAATGCATTAATAATAACAAGATACAATAGTATTGATAAAGAGTAGTCTAATAATTAAAGGACCTTCACCCTGTAAAATTATGTACCTTCTTAAGAAGTTATCATGAACTACTTTCTGTGTTTGCAAGGTATAAACTGTTACATTTTCTTAATCCTATGAACCGGCCCTTCATTAAGACATTTGAGGACATTTGTGTTCACCTTCCAGATATCTGGATCTATAGGCATCCTCTGGAAAGATCCCCCTGAGGTAGGTGATGGAGGAGACTGCCACCGCCATCATCCTCTTGACGAAGACAATGGACTCTTGCTCGGTTTTCAAGTCATTCGGGAATAATCCAATCCACTTTAAAATGTAAAACAGATAAATAAAGACTTTGTATAAAAAGGAAAACGGCTAAGCTAAATTTGACTTGTTGGTGGCCACACGATGGCGCAATTGTTTATGTCAAGTGTTGTCTATAGTAAAGAGGAGGGTGTCATCTTTAACTTTTACTCATAAATATACAAACTGGTTAACTCAAATGGAAAACATATGATCGTGAGCTAGCCTGTGTTGTGGTCAAACCTCAGCAGTTTCCTCCTTGCTCTTTCTGATGCATGTCTTCCCAGCAGCCATTTTCTCCTGAGGATTAGCTAGGTATGCTAATGCTAACGATTAATTAACTAAGCTAACAAGGATAAACATAAATATTCAATATCGGCCAACACAGCAGACGCTAAAACGATGTAATTGGTACCTTTCCTCACAGAATTGTTTTCATACTTTGTCTAAGAAGCTTATCTCGATCTTAAACAGGTCAGACTAATATTAATCAAACTCTAAAATTACTCAAACATTAACATTAGTCACGCACTCATTAGTCTTTCCCGCCACAAGTCTTCATGACAGTACCGCATTGTTTACTATTCGTAAATTACCCCATGGACAATTACATTTTAATTGACAAGAATCAGTAAAAACATAAGTAGAATGACATAAATGTGTGTGCAAATATGCCCTTATAATATGAAGAAAGCATAGGGATTGCATTAATATTACTTTTCATTAGAAAATAATATTTTCTCCACTTAATGATAGTTTTGTTTTTTTCAGATGCAGGTGTTAATTAAAAGTCAAACACATGAAGATGACTGGCATGTCTAGGAGACACTTCTCTGTTACTAGCTCTACTTTGTTATGGCAGTAATTAATATTCACGATGATGGCCCTGTTTGATTTAGGTGTGCCTGCTAGCAATACACAATACAAGACCCTGACATGCAACATCTAAATGTCATGATATATATGATTAATTACTTTTCACCCTGTCAACTCAAACAGGTGTTTTCAGTTCTTCTTCGTTGAAATGTTGAGGTCACTGAATTATATATATTCAAAAGAATAGTTGTAAGTTGTTCTGTCCTAACAGGTACATTAAAACAGTAGCGCCAGGGAGATGTCAACCAAACCTGTTCTGTTGACACCCATATATTCTAGTCAGCCAAAATAAATATAAAAACCTAGGTGGGGCAGGCTGCAGGAGTATTTGGCAAACAAATAAGCATCTTTTGACTTGTTAGGGAAAGCCTATTTATTTACGGCAACATTTTCAATAGAAGCCTGCATCTTATTTTAGATACTTGGGAGTTTATCTTCCACCTGGGCTATGATTATTCACTGAGCTTGTAGCTTTAAAAGATAAATAAAAGGGAATCATTGTACCTCAATCTAACGTACGGAAGTATTTAAGGTATCGTACATTTACATGCATGCAAAAAAACAATCGTGTACCTGATTTGATACTACTAACACCACCGAAGAAGAAATAGGTTTATGTGTAATGACCTTAACACCCAAACATCTCACCTGTTCTGTTTGAATAAATGTGTTGTTTTCAGAGAGTGTTATAAACTGAATTGTTTATTTTGAACAAGAACATGTGTTGTTGACTATAAAAAAAAAGAAAAAAGTACAACATAATGGAGAGAGATTCTTCCAATAGAACTGTTTGTATGGTCCTTTGCATCTAACAATAGTAAGGAATGACATGAAAGAACAAACGGATATTTATCTCAGTCTGACAGTGAAAATAGCAAACATTACCGCAATATAATTAGACAATTATATGCTTTGGCCATAAGTGCACTACTCACTCTACAGACAACAGAACACACACACAGCATGTTGACTACAAAAACTCCAAACCACTCCTTCACAGGCACAGCGGGTGACTTAAATATTGTTCTCTGGAAATGTAATCTCTAAATGAAATCTCCTACAGCAGGCAGCAGACTCTGGCCATGGGCTTATTACTGCTTGGAGAAGAAGTCTTTGCTCTTCTGGACGTCAGGTTTGATGGTGTCGCTTCCTGGTTTCCAGCCGGCTGGGCAGACTGAAAAGATAAGCCTGTAATGAGTCCTGGCCCGGTAGATGACACAGTGAAGACCAATATGATGCACATGTACAATAAATAACCCTGGGTTTAAAGCAGGGAAATGCATCAAACATCTGGTTGCATAATGTAAAATATCTTTGTACTAGACCATGCTTAATTATTGCCCTCCTTTAGGTCAACTGTCACTTCTCAACTTGCTAGAGCTGGGCAATAAAACAATTACCGCTATAGGATTTTCAATAACAAAACAACAAATGTTCAATTAATGTTTGATTCATTTGAATCATGAAAAAAAAAAAAAAAAAAAACACTTAATTGTTCCAATTAAGATATTTTGTTGGTTCTACCTCAGATTTGTTAAGTGATCCACTGTTTGGAAAGTGTTTGTGATGTTCGGACCATAAATAATAGTTTTAAACCACAATTCCCCATCTGGTTTCTTCAACTTTCACTCAGGAGCTAAAATCATCCTTTAAACTAAAGAAATAATGGACGTGACATTTATCATGATAATTCTCGATATCAAATGATATTAATCTTTTTATCATGATAACCTTTTTGGCCATATCGCCCAGCCCTATGTGAACCTGAGCACAGACAACAATATGAACCTCTGAATTTGAATAAGCCTTTATGGTCTCACTAAATTCTTTCCAAACAGCCAATAACAACTCTGGATTCAAATTATGTAATAACATTGTAAGTACAACAGTTAAATCAATACAACCTTATCTGGGTCAGGGAGAACAAGGTGAGAGTATAGAGTAAGAGTTATATCACTCAGAGTATATAGCACATTTCAAGGAATCTTGAAATCTTTTAGTAACAACAGTTTAACACAAGCGATACGCTACAGGACACAGTAAGATACATTACATACACAGTATGTTACAGCAGTAACTTACCTTCTCCGTGCTTGTCAGTGAACTGAAAGGCTTGGACTAAACGCATGGTCTCCTCCACAGAGCGTCCAACTGGGAGGTCGTTGATGGTGATCTGTCTCAGGATGCCCTTGTCGTCAATGATGAACAGACCCCTGAAACAGAAAGAGCAATTCATGGGTCCCCGAAAGAGGCAAAAGGTACAATCTCCCTTTGGGAAGCAAAAGCAACAGCATTATTGTTTCTAGTCTTTATCTAAGCGTACTGAAAGAGCCCAACTCCAGCTTGTTGAACCCACCTGTAAGCGATGCCCTCATCCTCCTTCAGGACACCATAATCTGTGGAGATGGTGCGCCGTGTGTCAGACACCAAGGGAATCTTCATGGAACCCAGGCCGCCCTGCTTACGAGGTGTGTTGGTCCTTTGAGAACATGATCCAAAAAAGAAAAAGTGAGGCGTTTGCAAGAGGGAAACCGCACAACCACTGCAGGCGCTTAATATACAACCGTGTAACTACCACGCGAAATGGGAGAAGTGTGAGTCAACGGAGGCGGCGATGATCTCACAGCCGATTTTCCTGAAGTCATCGGCCGCATCACTGAAAGCAATGATCTCCGTTGGACACACAAAGGTGAAGTCCAGTGGATAGAAGAAAAAGACAACATATTTCCCTACACCAAAGGAAAAGAAAATAAATAAGGCCACTGAGTTTGTCATGTGACAATGCATCTGCAGCAATTTAAGGCTAGTTCATTGTAGTCTAGTAGTGTAAATTAATGTCAGTTCGATATGTTGTGGAATGATTACAAAGCAGTCCAGAAGAGGGCGTCATCAAAACATGTCCCCCACTCAACAGAGGAAGAGATATAAGTTGAAGTATACCTCTGTAGTCTGACAGTTTCAGGTCCTGGAACTGTCCGTCTTGCATCACCGCCTTGGCTGTAAAGTCTGGGGCCAACTTTCCAATTTGTGCCTTGCCTGCAGCCATCTTCAGTCTGACTGAATTACAGAAGAAGGAAACTGTTTATGTAATACACAATGTCTCTCAAATCACAACCGTGGATTGATTCTTTCTCATTTGCAGGAAAAGGATATGATGCATCTTCAATTTTGCAATTGATCAGACTAATTTTAGGGCCGCAACTATAAAAAAAAAATAATAATTGTTGCCTATTAATTTTCTGTCAATCCTCAAATCAATTAATCATCATCATCATCTCAACTCTCATGCATTTACCACTGCAGATGTGCAACATAATGAATTTTCTGGTCAGACATCACTAAATATCCGTTGACACCACCATGGACTTAATTATAATGGTCATTTTTACCATTTTCTCACATTAATAAAATAATTTATCAGCTAATCCTGGAAATGAATAATCACTTGTTTGTTGTTGCTCTAAAGGTGAAGCAAATAAAGTTTTCCAGAGGTAGAAAAATTTGTAATACCGGAAGTAGTAGAATGTGTAATTATGTAAAATAGTTATAATGAAACCAAAAGACAGAAATGTCTTGCTGAACTCAAAATTGAAAGCCGCAGACTGACAACTAATGTAGTCTGTAATACAGTACATTTTCACTTCTTTTAAATTCACAGGTGTTTCCGCATTTAAATGTTTACTACCATTTTTACTTGAAGCAAATTCCTGCTACATTTTCAGGAGTTATCGATTATTACGCCTGAGTGCGTTTTGGTATGTCACTAGCTAACATCGACTGAAACGCCAAAAAGGTTGAAATTTTCTCTTGGCTGAGAGTAACCTTAGTTATAGACCTTTCTGTCAGTGATCACTTTCCACTTAACAAAATCAATCAACGGCCTAAACTTTTCCGTCACTCTCTAATACTAAACAATCTCATCATTTCGTGAAAACCACTTGTTGAACTGTGAATTCAGGTAACGTTAACGTTACAGCTGTGCAACTTTCAAAGCAAAAACAAACCGAACTGAACACTTTAATCAACGAAAACAAACGCCAACTGTTAAACAGAAAGACAAAAACATAATTAATTGTGTTTCTAGACCACATACCTCAGTTTTGATCACACCACACCAACACACACCGCAGAGAGCAGGAGCTCACAGGACCGATCGACCAGGGAATTTATACTACTGCTCACCTCTCGCGATAACATGTTAAGAACGTGATCACAGCCCACTTCAGTCCAGCTCCAATCTGAACCACCCACCACACAGAATGACTTTGCACTTTCTTCACTTTCCTGGGAATTATTATGCTCTTGTGAAATAATCAAGGAAATCATAGGGTTAGGATGAAGAGACTGCCGGAAGAAGAGGAAATATTCTTCAAAGTTTCACAGTTATTTAATAGTCCCTGTGGGGCATCTCTGACCTCTAGTTCATCCTCAGATGTATAGGACAACCTTCTGACTCTAGATTAGCTCTACAGCCTGTTGTGATGCATGACACTGAGAGTGTTAATCTGAAACTCAAATGAGGGAAGGTTTTAATGGCTTTTTCTCTCTCTTAAAGTTTTATTAAAGCAAAGTTCATTACAACAACAAAAATGCAAAGGATACAATTAATCAAATGCATCCAACATTGCCAGAAGCTCAAATTAAATTCAGTTCTTTTATAATGTTGAAGCTTGGAGCTTTTAATGGCTTGTAGTTCCCTGAACAGCCATGCAGGTGTCATGGTCATGGGGTTTCATCATATGACTAAGCCTCTTTGTGGAGCCAATCCATTATCATCATGAATAAGCATGAAACAACTCCTTACTGCTACAACCTCTGTTTGTTGCATGTGGCTTATCAATACGTTTCTTATTAACTTTCCTGCTCAGGTAGTAAAGCACTGGCAAAACCAGGTCACCAGCCTAATCACATTTTTTATTTTGTCTTTCAGCAAGTTTGCTTGGTGTAATGATCCCATGTCAAACTTGCTTTTCCAGTTAATTGTCATTCAAGTACTTTCAGATGAAAGGGAACTCATTTTCCATGTATGAAACAGATGTTCCCCAAAAACACACAAAAACAATAGTAACAGCACACAACTATAGTTTTTAAACACATAACTAGCTAGAACAAATTCAGTACACATAATCTATATTAATTAGAGAATTAAGCTCTGTAAGACCGTTGCACATGCTGGCTAGTTTCCTACATGTTTCCTGGATTGTCACTCCCAAACTATAGTATTTACAGCAGGATGTGTTGCAACATCTTGTACTTATTCTGTCGGCTGCAGAAGTCATTTTTCACTCTCATTTCCTTATGACCACTGCTATATTTACTTAATGACTTGGCTGAGGAACAGCAAAATTTGTCCATGCATTTTCACACTGGCAGCAGTTTCTATAAAGAAAAGTGATTTGAATTTGAATGGATAGATTGTCTGTTATTGATTAAAACTGAATTGTTGACACCAAAGACATTGTTAAGACTCAGAAAGATTGACGCTTTTTGTTGTCTGTACCGATTCCCAATTGATGAACAGGGCATAGTTTTATATTTTTTAAATGTGCTTTTTCTGCCATTAATGATCCCAAATGTTTACTGACCAGAATTATCTGTAAACCTCAGATTTTCCTTATTCTAACATGCAACCACTCCTAATATACTGTACATGTGACAACAACATAAAATTTTATAGCCAATCTTACTTGATTCTATAATAAATTAAATATCTGAGTAGAGATGCTGAAAGATTTATTTCAGGAAGTGAAGTTATTAGTTCACCTGAGTCTATGTAACCTGGACATACAGAGGTTGTTATTTGCTCAAACAGACGCTCCACCGTCCATCCTTCCTCCACTGTCACAGAGCGATGTCTTTTCATGCTGTTGCCATAGGCACAGCATCAAGGGTCAGATAAGAGGGGGACTCACAATAACCTCCTGTTAGAAGCACCAGGGTGGGCTTGTGATCAAACGCTGGCCTATGTATTCATCTGCAGTCTCAAATATGCCCATAATTAGTGCATCTGCTCCACTGCTGATTCCAAAGCAAGTGGATGTTTGAAGGGCACTTGTGTGTCCATCATTCTGGTCACGTTCAGCCGTGCAAAACATCAAAACAGTTAGTTTAAAAGGATGCGATGGTGGATTGAAATATTGGTACTTGATCCAATTAATGCTGTCCTTTGCAATAACCCAAGAGCATTCACTTGAAGCTTTGCAATTTGTTTAAAGGCTTCACATCTTGTGTTGCATAGTGCGTCACTGCTCTGTGGGGTTTTTCGTCATAGGTGTATTGGTTATATCTGTCCTAACACACCCACCAAATGGAAGCAACAGATCTCAAAGGATATTGCAGAGTGTTTCGAAACATAGGTAGGAAACAGAATAGCTTACAGTACTTATGTTGTCTCTCTATCATGGAATGACATTAAAGGATTTGTTCAACATTTTGGGAAATGTGCTTATTCACTTTCTTGGCAATAGTTAGATGAGAAGATTGATACCTCTCTTGTGTCTGTACTGTAAATATAAAGCTACAGCCAGCAGCTGGTTAGCTTTGCTTAGCATAAAAACTGGAAAGAGGGGTTGAGAGAGTTTAGTCTGACTTAGTCCGAAGATAACAAAATGTGTCTACTAGCATCTCTTAAGTTCAAACACATTTTTTCTCTTTTATTTAAGTTGCACATTTGTTACCTTTGCACAGAGCCAGGCTAGCTGTTTACCCCTGTTTCAAGTACTTACGCTAAGATAAGATAGGCGGCTACTGGACGGATCTTCACATGTAACAGACAGATATGAGAGTGGAATTAATCTTCTGAAATACTATCTGCATTAAAAAAGGTACAGTAAATGAATTACCCAAAATGGCAGGGTGAGTATGGATCTACCATAAACTATGGCAAACTCTGCAAAATATTTTGTAAAGCTTTCAATCTTCTGTGATATTGATTTTAATCTAAAATAAATTCCCCAAGGATATTTCCACTCAAACCTTCTGACTGAAAAAAATGTGAACTAAACGAGCTGTGGTAGGTTTTACTTGGAAAATTATAGCTGTTAAAGCTGTGTCCCCAATGATGATTGTCTCAGTGTGAGGCTGATTGGATGCCAGGTCCGGACTTGTCTTGATGAGACAGCCATAATGGAGTCAGCAGGAAGAGCTGAGGGGGGAGCTGCACAATCTCTGTCCCTCACAACAGGACATGACAGCAGTACGCTGTGTTTGGTACATACAGAGTGAAACACACACACACAAACTGAGAAATACACACACAGACACAAACATATACAGTACTACTGCCACCATATTTTATCAGTTATTCTACAGTGAACTGCTTTGATCAGACTGTTGCATACAGTAGTGATAGTTGTCACAATGTTCAATATGAAATGAACAATAATAAATACGACATTATGAAATGAAGAATTATAAACACATGTACAAATACATAGTATAATCATGAACATGTGAAAGAATCAAATCCATGTTTACAATCAACATGAAAAATGTTCAAGTAACAGATATTATTGCAGGTCTGCCCATTCCAGCCATTACAACAGCCAATTTAATTGGTCCTACCCAGATTGTCTTGACTGACAACTAAATAATCAATACATTTTGGAGTGGAAAAAAGGCTGTAATTAAATAAAAAATATAACTTCAATAAATATGTTATCCTGAAAAGAAGCAGAAGGAAACAGACTTTAATTATATTGGGTTGGGTTTTCATTTAGTGGTTATTTCCCCTTTGTGTTGCATTATTGTATTTTTTTCTGTGTTTATTCATATTCAAGATTTAATATGAGAATATCATAATGTAATTTATTTCATTTTGAACACTCTGGGTCGATATACTAGTATGATAGCAGAGCAGTAGTAGTTCTACCACAATCATCTTGCAGTACTGTACGTTTGTTCTGTGTCTTTAAGAAATCTCCCGCGCTTCTTTACGAACCCGGAAATCAACCGGAAGGGGCAGGAATATTTCGCGCCAAATTGAAACAACAGAGCGGTGTGTCTGAGTGGTGCAAAAGACGCGCAGCAGAGACACGAACCATCAGACACTACTTTGAACGTTTGAGTTGTTATTTCTCGGTTAAGGTATGTAATCAGTTAATGTACGTTAAGACTGTGTTTTGTAAAGTACACACGGAAAGTTAACATTTAAAGAGACGATGGCTGAACCTATGTAACGTTATAGGTTGGGCTTTTGGTTTATGAAGTCGAGTTAAATCATTTTCTTTCTGTCCACGGTAGCTAACATGGAGGAGGCCAACAAGCTAATCGGTACGGGCAAGAAGCACCTGGTTATGGGGAAAGTGGTGGAGGCGGTGAGCACCTTGCAGGAGGCCTGCGGCATGCTGTGAGTTAACTATGAAACAAAAGAAGCTTCAGCCAACACATAATAATAAGTCTGTCCATCACACAGACAGTTTAAAGCCTATTGGCTGCTGCTAACTTCCTTAACAACCAGCTAAAAGTCAAGTGCGCCGACAAAATTTAAGCTTAAAGAATATATATATAAATTTTTTTTTTTTAAAGCGAAAGGATCGGAGGACAAAGGCTGATGTCGTTGATCAGAAAGTAATAAGTACCAATATTAATCCACTAAAAGTAAAGAGGAGTAAGGGGAAACGTCTGCTTGCTGTGCGAGGCACAAAGATTTTGCAGTAATGGGTTGATTTTATACAGGTGTGCAGATTAATGCAAATTTATAGCGTCTACACACATTTGAACACTCAGAGCAGGGGAACTGTAGCGGTGTGTGACAAAGTAACGTTAACCATTTTATAGAAATGAATGTAATTCGTATTCAGTTTATCTCATTACAACGTTTGGATGCTACCAGCCTTGTCAGTAGCTGCAGAACTTTTGAGCTGTGGTTAAGGAAAACAAACAAATCTTAATTTTTTTTTTTTTTAAATGGAAGTTCAACATGTGCTATGCAAAAAATGTGAACTATATGCAGTTTTCTTTTGCATATATGCAAAAAAAAAAATGCCATGTGTGCTCTCATACTGATGAGACACTAAAACATAAGTTTTATTTCAGAGCTAAAAAGTATGGGGACACAGCAGACGAGTGCGGAGAGGCTTTCTTCTGGTGTGGTAAAGCGCTACTGGATTTGGCACGGTAAGATTGTGTAGTCTGAACCCCTCCGCCCCCTCCAGTCTTGAGTATAGCCTTGCATTTCAGAAACTTGTGAAAATGCAGGTCAAACTGACTATTGTCTATTGTTGTAGGATGGAGAACTCAGTCCTGGGTAATGCTCTGGAAGGAGTACCGGAGGAAGAGGAAGAAAAACCCACGGAGTCCAATGTTGACAGCACAGAAAACATTGATGGTGAGGCTTTGTTTTTGTGCTGTTTGACTTTTTTTTTTTTTCCTTTCAAAAGGGAAGTTGTTCACAAAGTTCATCCTAACTATCTCCTCTAACTTGAACAGAGAAGACCAGAGATGAGCTGAGGGTTCAGGTGTATGACGCCATGGCAGAAAAGGGAAACGAAGACATGAAGCAGAGCGAAGATAAAGAAAAGAACGACGACATAGAGAAGGCTGAGACTGATGAGCAACAGGACACGGCAAAGAAAGACGAAGATGAGGAAAACAAGACCAATGTTGATGGAAGCAAGGCTGGTAATGAGCAACAGGACACTGCAAAGAAAGCGGAAAATGAGGAAAAGAAAAGCAACATTGATGGAAGTAAATCTGATGAAAGTGAAGACAAGACGGAAAACGATAAGGAGGCTGAGAAAGAATCGGGAGATGAGGAAGCAGAAGGTGACGTTCCCTTTTTTTTTTTTTCTGTCCTTAAACCTTGATTGTAAATGGCTTTCTAAGGATTTAAATGGCCCACTTTATCTGAACGCATAATGTTTCAGATGAGGAGGAAGATGATGAAATGGAGGGCGATGCAGAAGACCAAGTTGAAGGAGATGGCGCTGCTGAGAAGGTACTTGATCAACCAGCTCACACACATCAAAAAGAATTGGCTGAAGATGTGAATTGAGATAGATAAATACTTTAGAGAGATTTAAAAAAAAATAATTCCCCCCCTCAGGACAGTGAGGATGAGGAGGTGGGAAACCTGCAACTGGCCTGGGAGATGTTGGAAGTAGCTAAAGTCATCTACAAAAGGTAGTGGAAACACACCAGCTGCTTGCTGAGCCATATGGTTGTTAGGATCTCAGTTTGATGGTCACTGAGCTACAGCTTCATTGTTAACTGTCTTTTGTTTTTAAATAAGGAAAGAGAATAAGGAGGATCAACTCATGTCAGCCCAGACACACTTGAAACTGGGTGAAGTTTCTGCTGAATCAGGTACAAACAAGTCGCTCAACCAATCTTCAGTTCAGCACTTTTTTTTTTAATATATATATATATTATTTTTTGTCCTGATAGGAGGAGGAGCAGCTTGAGATGGAGGTAGTTCATTCTTGTAGTGCTGAAAATATTAGTTTATCAACAGACTATTTAGTCGTGACAATTAAATATTTGAAGTTGTGTGTCAAAGAAATGCCAAACATGCTCTGGTTCCAGCCATCAAATGTGAGGATTTGCTGATTTACCCTGTTCTAATGTCAATGTTTGGACTGTTTGACTGACAAAACAAGCAGGCTTTGTAGACATCTGGGGAAAATGGATGAGGACTACAATTATTCAGTTAGTCATATGAGCAATCAACAGTTAATCAATATCAAATTAATGTTAGTCTCAGACCTAAATTCTTCTTTCAGACTGAACAGTAACTTTATAACAAAATGGACATACCTTTTTAAAAAAAAAAACAACAAAACATGTTTAACACCTAAAATTCCTTGTTGATTTGATCTTTTTAGTTGCTGCTTATCTCTTCCAGGAAATTACACACAGGCTCTGGAGGATTTCCAGGAGTGTCTGAAGCTTCAGGTGAAGCACTTGGACTCAGACAGCCGCCTACTTGCTGAGACTCACTACCAGCTTGGTCTGACCTATAGCTTAAATCTTCAGTACAGCCCGGCCATCAAGGAGCTGGAGAGTTCAATCTCTGTCATAAAGAGCAGGCTGGGTAAGCAGGGTTGGCCACTCCCTGTGAGTTTTCACTTGGATAAGAAACATGTTAACTTGTCAAGCACTCATGGTCATATTTCACTTTTATTTTGTAAGCTAACGTTCCCACTTTATCTGGCAGGCAAACTGCAGGAGCTGCTAGACAAGGCTGAGGGCCCAGAGGCTCTGCCAGATGAGAGGAAGGAGATGGAAGAGCTGAAGGCTCTGCTGCCCGAAATCCAGGAGAAGGTGGAGGATGCCACAGAGGGTCTGAAAACAGTGGGCACAGCTGCTGAGGCTATGAAGGGTGTACAGGTGAGTGAGGGATGTGGCATTTTCATTTGAAAAGGCATGTTTTGTGATGGTATTCTCTACACGCTCATTAGCTCTCCATAGGGAACAGTTCATTGACATTATGGACACCTAGCTAAGGATCATTTTGCACTAATACTGATGGATGTACTGTCCATGGCAGTAGTAAGATGGATTATTTATCTGGTATGGTGTGGACACAAAACAAACAAGTAGCACACTGGGTGGCAAGCAAATGGTGTGGTATTTTTATTTTTTTAGATGCAGCCCTTTTCTATTGTTCACTGACATGCGCTCTTGCAGTGGCTGATGCTGTCTTTACAGCAAGGTCTCAACTGCGGTTAAACAGCTGGCACTGAAGATACTTGGAAACAGTGGGCCTGGCCTTGTCTCACTTGGCCTATCATGCATCCACCCTTGCAAATATTCACAATATTAAACTTCAACAATGTGAAATGTTCTTTTATATTAACCTAAAAGGTGAGTCCAGGCTGTTGGGGGGTAAAGCTACTCCTACAGTAGCAGTTCCTGTACTGTTGAACCGTCTCAAAGCTTGATTCTAACCTCATGTACCTTTCAGGATGGAGGCTCTTCCTCTGCGTCCACTATGCAGAATGGTGACTCCTCATCCAGTTCAAAGGTAAGTTGTGAGTCTGTGTACCAACATACTGGTGATGAGCTTACATGTACGAATGTTGTATTGCCCACACAGATTTGGTAGGCTTGTTAATCTATCGCTCTTGTAGAGTACATGTCATGGTGTATCCTCTACCCAGGTTAACAGCACGTCAACCAGCGGAGTCAGCTCTACCAATGGACACGCCTCCACAGCTCCGGTCTCTGACATCTCCCACCTCGTCAGAAAGAAGGTGAGTGAGCCAGATGTTGAATTAATTTTTTTTTTTTAGTTTAAATTAATTGCACAGAGCTGTAGAGGTCACAACAATAGTCTCATTTGAACCAAACTTGCATAAATTTCAGAGAAAACCAGAGGAGAGTCCAGTGAAAGAGGGCGATGTTAAGAAGGTGAAGCCGGATGCTGCTCAGACTAAAGGAGTTCACTAAGCCAACGGACACAGTTAACAGTATGGAAGTCGAGAGGTAAGAGATGCATTAAGTCTGAGGCACAGTACTGTTTAATGTGGTGATGGGCAGAGGAAGCTTTCGGGCGTTCTTTTTGAGAAATTATTTGAAGCTTCTGGGCTTCAAACAGCAGAAGACTGACATCTGGTGGCTTGTACAACTTATCAACTGGAGCCAGAGCACCACCATGCCTCTGATTTGAAGCCTGCATGTTAATGTAATACTTATGCTCAGAAGTGCTGCATTAAAAGTATACATTATTCCTTAGTGTTATAGTCAAATCAATAAATGCATTATCCAGAAAGCCTAGATAAGATTTTTTATTTTTTTTGATTCAAACTCATCTTTCAGTCGGTGATGCTGGACTCCTGCCTGCTTGTTTTCATCCATCCAAGAAGGGATTCACAAACTACCACCGCCACTTCCTTCCAACTGTTGCTACACTTGTTTGCTTCTGTAAATATGTGTGTCTTTTTTTCTACTTCTGTTATGTTGGTGTGTTCACATATGTAACCTATTAAATTCAATAAAGAATATTATTTGATAAACGTTGTCTGATAAATTTGATAGCAAAACCACTGCACTGATAGGAGAACAGAAGTAGTCATACACAAATAGCTAACACATTTTTTCTCACTAGTGGAGAAAGGAAGTGCCCAAAACTTCACACAGGTAGTACAAGGTAGTCCTCTTCAGCTGGAGGCTACCTCTGCAGTCAAATTATGTTCCCGTGTGTGTGTATATGGCTACAAATGAATAATAGAAGTACATGTAGGGGGGAAAAAAAGTCTTTACCATTATCCAGAGTGTTCAAAAAGGTGCTACTCACTCAGTCACAGTATGAATGAGGGCTGCTGTCTCAAATTTAAAAATTGTTAACACTGAACTAGAACCTTGTTTAGTCACTGAGTGAAATGGATTTTGCCTTAGTTATTTAGCTGCTGCTTTTATCCAAAGCAAATTACAATTGCTATAAACATCGAGGTCGCACGGCTCTAGCGCAACTAGGGGTTAAGTGTCTTGCTCAAGAACATATTGTTGGATGTGTCCGTGGGAATCAAACCCAGATCTCCCACTCCAAAGGCCCCATATTGGATTAGATGTTTATGCTGACCACTTGACGAGTAGACTAACTGATGCTGTTAGTCACAGGTTGATGCTTTGTCATATGTGGAACTTAGTCAATATGATTTGTTAAATCTAACAGTGTATATTGGGTCACATTAAGAGGCCTTATTTCTATGAGAAAAAGCACAGCAAAGGCACTATTCCATTTGTCAGTAAACCAGCATGAACTTATGCAGGGCTTTGGAACGAACACTCAAGTGGAAAGCAGCCTTTGATTACACGTGCTTGAGCAGATTGTCTGTGAAAACTGTCTATTTGGAGAAATGTAACTTGAGCTTGAATCATTTGTTTTCAAATGAAGTTAGTTTATCTTAAATTATTCACTGACAATGAAAATCAGTGTTAATGATGGTTTTACATGTGGTGTTGATACAAGATTTGCTGAAAAGGAATATATTTACTTAACAGTGCGACACTGGAAAAGTAGTCCTGTATGTTGAACACAACTGTCATTCACCACGGCAGACATCTTGACTTAGAATGAAAGGTAGACGTAAATCGTAGAAATGGTTGCAGTAAGACCTACTGTTTTGAAGAATCTTTGCTTTGATCAACTTAATATTTAAAGTACTTTTACTTTGAAATGTATTTGATGCACACATTAAGACTGAACATCATTCCATTTAAAATAAAGATTGATGAATGTGTGGAGGCTTTTGTGTTGAGGGAAAAATATGGCATGGATTGGGGTTGATTGTGTGGGATGGGAAACACTCAAAGACCTGATTGGACTGCGAACCAGTCACGTGATTCATTCAGACAACTAAGCAGTTGCTGCTTTGGATGTCATGTCACATGATTTTTTTCCGCACCAAAGCAAGCTTTGAAGCAGTGGTTCTATGTTCAGGGTTTGAAGCACATATCAAAGCTTCCGTATCGCATTGCCAATCACTAGAAAAGAGTCTATATAATGGTGAATATATGTAGATTCAAGCACCACAGTAGCCAGATTCATATTGAAACATATCAGCTTGTCAGGAACCAATTTTTATTAATATCATTAATAATGTGTCATCAGCATCATCAATGAAATGAGTTAGTCTGTTTAAAGCAGAATCAAGTGTGCATTCATTGCCCTTCTTTTCTTGATGAACACTTCAGTTCCACGAAGCGAGGAAGAAAAAGGAGGGAGGGGGAGGAGGGAGGTCAAAGAGGGCAGGGACTGCAGTGAAGGAGGAAACGCAGGGAAAACGACGTCTGGCGGAGCAGGTATCTCCCCCTTCACTGGGATATGATTGGTTTTTCCCTTGTGCAAGAATGACGACAAAAAAAATCAAAACAAAAGAAATTCAAAATGGTGCTCTAAAAACAAAGATGAGAGAGGAAGAGGGGGATTGCTTGCTGGGATGTTGTGGTGGTGTTGATTTTTTTTGTTCCGTAAAGCCACGTTAGGATTTGATGCAGTCGTCGTCATCAGAGGTCTGGCTGCTGCTACTGGTTTCGGACTCTGAGCCCTCTTCGACGTTCACCTCCGCCACACTCCTCCAGGGGGTGAAGTGGAGGGTTACACCCCGCGCCCTCGGGAGAACCCCATTCCTCTGCATGCCGTTCCTCTTCAGCTGGTCATAAGACACGGACAATTTAAGTGTGAATGAGATACTTCAGCTTAGACTTTATTGTCCACTTCAGTGGAAAGTTGTCTTCGACTTCTCCAAAGCAAATATATAACCATGACACCACAATTATCAGACATTAAAAATATTTTTAAAAAACAACACAGTTGAGACTACAACCACAGACGTTTTATAGAGGAGACACCCCACTTTTAAGAATCCTCAATACAACTCTATAGAGAAAGCCTGTAATGCCAAGGATGGCTGTTATCCTGCCCCTCCCGCTAGAAAGCCAAACGTCTGATTTTAACAGCCAAAGCACAAAACAAATTTCAGCCAATGATGAAAAGGTGCATGGTAGTAGTGATGCGTGCGTAGTAGAATAAAAGTGTTTGGGTAAAAACGCTTTTTAAACCTTATTTTGGGGCAAAGTCATCAAACTGTTTGAGTATTTATCAGATTTTAGTGCCGATTCTATACATGCAGTTTTTATCTCCCAGTGACCAGTAAAAGTGGAGTTATGGCTCTCTCCCCAACCCCGTAGACAGGAGTCTGGTCTTGTTAATCCGAAATAACTGCTCTGAGGCGTTAATTAGATGGCTGCCAAGCAGTAAGACTTGCCTATGGTACAACACAGGACCACCATTAAACAAAACAACAACAGTGCCTTGAACAGAAAAAAGTAAGCGCAAAGTAGCGCAGCAGGTGGAAATAAAGTAGGTTACATCCTACAAGAAAACATGTTTAAAAATGCGGTAATTTTGCATTCAGTGCCTATATGGTATGGGGAATAAAAAATCTCATTGATATTCTGGCTCGCCCTTGGGACCCTGAATCGACAGCCAGATGTGAGCAACTCAAACTCTGAGTTGTTGTTGTTGTTTCTCTGAGTGCTCACCTGCTCAGTTTTAGTCTGGAACTCTCTCAGCTCATCCTCCGTCAGAGGCAGGAAGTTGTCATCATTTTCTGGGTACTCCTGCCAGCCCATGGCCTTCAGCAACCTAGAAAAGCATGATCATTTCTGCTTAGTTGACTGTGTGTGTTCGTGTGTGTGTGTCTGTGTATTATGGCTGTTAAAATCTACCTGTGCTCTGCCTCCAGAGAGCTGGACAGGTGTTCGGTGTCTGAGTCACTGAGGGAGTAGGACAGACCATTCTCATGGCAGACTTCCTCGCTATAGGCTTTGGGCTCTGGGGTGGTGCTTTCACCCTGAGAAAATTCACAGCAAGAAAAAGAATTATTTCAGCCTCAATTGCAAACAAGCACTATTTGGCAGTGCTCAGTCATTCTACAGCACTTCCTTATCTCAGTCTTGTCCAGCTGTGTGATGCCTTATGAAAGCAAACTGCTGCCTACCTCTCCTGATGTTCCCGGGCTGCTGCTTGTCGTCAGCTCTCCGGTGCCCTCGTCCTTCAGGGCTCGCAGGAACTCGCTCTTGCGGTCCGGACCACGACGCATCAGCTTCAGCCTCGACGGGGCTATGTCTATGGGAGGAGTCGTGCTAGAAGGGTGCTGTAGGTGTGAGGAGAGGGACCAGGTGAAGCCGGTTGAAAAGAAGGAGAGCGAGTTTTGATAATTTCTTTTTTTCCCCCCCAACTGCGACACCAAGCTATTAGCCATCAAATCAATTTGGCCATGATAATCTTTCAAAATAGAATATTAACTGCCTGAAGATTTGGGGGCGTAATCTGCCAGATGGCAGAAGCAGAGCTAAATGTATGCTGTAATAAAAAAAATTTTTTTGCAGCAGTTGCAGACACGAGGTTCAGTGTATTTGAATATTAAAGTTTATGGCCATGGATTACAACAGTGTGATGCACTGGACAGAAGGCAGAGTACATATACTGCTGCAAAGGAAAGTTTCACGTGCACATGTGAGTAAGCATTTCAGTTGACAACCACACAAAAACATAATTACTATGTTTAGATAAAACCTGTGATTTACTTACAGGGGGATAGGCCAGCTACTGAACTCAGAGTTCAACACAGACTGCTGCACTGAAATTTTACCAGTTTGCTTGCTGTACTCTTTTACATGTTTTTGTTGTTGGGGTTAGTTGTAATCGTGCACATCAAGTCGTACATTTGTCTTTTTCTTTTTATCCTCACCTCTTTTGGGGTGTTGTGCTGTGGTGCACTGACTGGGGTGCTGGGTTTGGCTGCAGAGACGGGGCTGGTGAAGACTGAATCTCGGCCTGGCATGTGAAGGCCAGACTTAGTGATCTCTCTACCACTGGATTTCCACTGGGTGCTCTGGAAGAGAGGACGTTCTCGTTCACAAACAAGAGAGACTGCTTCCATTACAGCACCTACATTTACTGGTACTGACACAGTTTGCAAAACTTGTTGCTGTTTTGTTTTCCTGAAACAAATTAAGCAAGTTCTTGAAATTCATTTGACACAATGCCATAGTAAGTAAGTAAGTAAGTAAGTAAGTAAAAGTTTATTTCTATAGCACCTTTCACAGGTATAGGGCCACAAAGTGCTTCACAACAAAAACATAGGTCCTACTTTTGTGGGGGCCACAGCAGGCTTTGGGACCAGGTTCTTGTAGACGCTGGAGCCTGCAATGGGAGCTTTGCTGCCGTTGGTGGGCAAGGCGCCAGCAGTGGCAAACCCAGCAGAGAAGGCCGTGCTGGGGTCCTCCTTGGAAACCTTCTTGATAACCAGCATTTTGGACGCCATCTGTTTGCCACTAGGGGGGTTTTCTGGAACACAATCAGTCAGTGATGAAATGTTACAAAGGACTGAGGACAAAAAAAAAAGAAACTGTTAAACAAAGCTTAAGCAGGGTTCCCACTCTTTTCTAGAGATCCAGCTGGTAAGGGTCAGAGAAAAGAAACTTGTGATGAATACTACTCATGCCATTTACATTTTTTTTTAAATCACAATTTACAATGTAGAAAAAGGAAAGTGAAAATGTTTGATTATCTTTGGTCAGGTGCACTGTGAACAATAACTACTATATAAAAACACAATCTATATTCATAGCTGACTGCAGGGATCAGTTCATACACTAATATGTTCCTCTCTGTGGAAGTCTGATTTTAAAGACGTGCAGTCTATAACTTATTTATGAACCTAAAGGCAACAAAAACAAAGAATTCCCCGAGCACAGCAACACAATGAGGTACTGGTAGATAGCAGGATAAATCTATGAAAAATCAAAAACAAAATACCGCACACTGATTTGACTTACTACTTTATTTGTGAGCAACGCATTTCGCCCATTGCTTCTTCAGGCTCACACAGTGAAAAATAAATTTATGAACCTATCTATTGCATGCGTAGAAATGATGACAAAGTGATCTCGTCTTGTTTTAATATTGTTATGATTTTTTTTTATAGTGTTGCGATTTATTTATTTTTTTTCTTCAATTGGAAAGCCCATTGTGCTCTATGCTGCCTGATGATTTTCTTATTATTTTATCGTTTCAAATTAAAATCACATTTGACGCTCCAGACATAACGTTACATCATAGCCCGCAAGTCTCGATATCAGTATCGATAAGCTCGAACCTTATTGATTTTCAGATTTTGAGAAATTTTGGAAGTGGGTCCTTTTGGAACCGGGTCTCGATCCCCATCCCTAATGCTTGGCAAATACTTTTCTTATGAATTATATTTTAACCACTGCTGCTTGAACACCAATAACTGAGTAGTCTCAACAAATAATAACGTACAATTTTGCCTACTAACAAATCCCAGAATTCTTCTGAACCTTGGCTTTCTAAAATCACTGTGGTCCTTAGCCCACATGTACGTCTGTTGAACCACTGATACTACGCCACACTTTATTTGAACATCTTCCTATTCATTCTTATCCAACTTTTTCATCACCACTCGACACATTTAAACCATTGCGCCAAGCCAGAGTTGAAACACAAACCATAAACCTTTGCAGCAGGACAAAACAAGCTAGCAAACATGTCAACTTCAACAACTGAACCAAACAAACATTATTTAACCATTTAAAACAAGTTGAAACCCAATAAAAACTACCACAGTTAACAACGCTGCCGCAACCACACCATAATGTTAAAATGATTTTCCAGGACATTTGACTTTTCTCTCATTTTCCATGTGTTTTCCATGACTGAGAATTGGTCAACTGTTTCCCAGGTTTTCCAGGACGTGTGAGAACCCTGTTAAACCTTTAAATCATGTCTTTATTTATTCAAAATTCATATCCAATCTGGACTGGGAGCTCTTACCCCACACTCCAGCATGGGGAGCCACTGCACGCATCTGAGTCCCAGGCTTTCCAGTTGTTTCAGGATTGAGGGAAGGCTAAAAAGAAAAACATAAAGCACCTGTATTAAATACCCTAGCATTCAAATTTTCAGGTTTTCTTAACTACCAAGGATGAGGACTGATTAAACCTTATGGATCAGAGAAAAGAAACTTGTGATGAATACTACTCATGCCATTTCCATTTTTTTTTTATCACAATCTACAATGTAGAAAAAGGAAAGTGAAAATGTTTGATTATCTTTGGACAGGTGCACTGTGAACAATATCTACTATATAAAAACACAATCTATATTCATAGCTGACTGCATTCTGAACCCTCTTTATTTAACAATTCAAATAGCTTTGCCAAAACTATATCAAGGTCAGTGGCTTTCTTGTGGAAAAGTCAGTGCAGGTTATCTACTTACAAAGTCCTCTTCCACGAACTTCAGCTTGTCGTCCTTGCCGTCTTTGCGTTCCTCGTTGGGGAACTTGTCCTGGTACGAGGTGCCCTTGCGGGGATGAAAGTTGCCATTGCGCTGCCGGTGCACCCCTTGCCTGTCCCTGTCGCCTCCTACCCGTTTGGGGTGGCGTCCCTGGTGGTGGTGGCCATCCTGGGCACCCCGTGAAGCTCCATGCCAGCTGGGTGTTTCCTTCCAACATGAGCCCCCTGCCAGCCCACCATGCCCACCTTTGGCCACCCCAGAGTCCACAGAGTCATGCCGTAGAAGCAGAGAGGGCTGCTGCCATCCGTCCCCTCAAGAGAGAACAAATATACAGCGTATCTAAGAATGATGTTGTCATACTTTAGGAAGCCCTGAATGCATGCAAAGTTTGGCTTTCATGGATAAATCAGTATGTTTACCAGATTACTACCTAAAATAATATTTTAACGCTTTTTCACCATCTTAGACTCAAAGCAAATCAATAATTCTGTTATCAGAAAGTTCACTGAATGGCTGTTTTTGTTATGTTGGCACTAGCAGAAAGTGGTGGCATTTGAACATCTGCTTCCCCACTGGCTGTTAGCTGAGACTGTTATTTACAGTGTGAAAACACAAAGCAAGTGTCAAAAGAGCCAAAGAGGGAAAAAGATCAGTTGTACAGGTGAATTAATTTTTTAATTCAGACACTCAATCCACTCACAAGGTGACTTATTTGTCATAAGTCACGTGTCCATGTGTCATGTTTTACTACGACATTATACAGGCAAACTGCACATTTGGCAAGGCGAGAATTAAGCTACTGCTGTAAAACAGAAGACAGAGGAATCTTACAGACGACAGAAATCTTAACCACGTTTAATCTTGAATACCGACAGAACAGCCACATCCCTTACAGCCTGCACCTACAGTAGGTTCCTCTGTAAGGACCAAAAGCACCTACATCGTACAGAAACTGCTACCAAGTGAACCCTTATGGCAAACACACCTTAAGTGAACTTCCTACAATTAAACTACACCAGCAATTAGTGTAAAGACTAATACGAAAGACATACCAGAAGACAAGTTGAAGATTTGGTGCAACAAGTCTGACCGTCACAGCACACCACAAGTACAGACACAAAAAAGCTGCCTTTCTGCTTTCCAAAGTAAATGGCAGCGCAAGAGGTTAGCAAAGGAAAAGTGAAGTGAGGGACGATGGTGAGACACCCCAGGGACTGTAGGACAAATCTGTGAAGAACGTGTCAAACAAGAAGCTTAACTGATTTAAGATTACTCATTGAACTGGTGGTACAACTGATCACCACAACAGCATCATTCATCCAGAGGAACAAGAACGCAGAAGCTGAGATGAAACATAGCTGAGTGGCAATTTCGCATCAATTTCACAAAATGGAGGAGCAACAATAAACTGGCATTTTAAAACTGGCACGACACTACAGCAACTCTTCGTTCACACAAAGAGCTGCATAGCTACACATCAGCAGAGCAACATTGTTGGTGAAACCAAATAATGTACATATTCTGGATAGAAAGGGCAGATGGTTTGAATGAGGTGTAAATGAGGCTATATACCATGTAAAAGAAAACTTAAATGGGGGGTTAGGACTCCAACGCCACCTGTCTACTGCTTACAATGCTGCTACAACACCACTGCCTCTATCACTGGCTTCTGAGCAGGTGGCCTCACTTATGTCCTTATCCAGTACAGGGAACTGAATTATATCCTCTTTCAATAGAGGTTTGCTGCTTGCAATCATCTTCAACTTCACACGCTGAGAGCCCCGCAGAGTAATTTTATTTAGAACTGATTTGATGTTTGAAACATCCCCAGCATAATCCTCATCCTGAAAGCTTAATAAAAAGGGTCCTTTGGTAGATAAAAAAGGGTTAGAGACCATTCAGTTAGTTTCCAAATTCTACCCATTCACTCTTCACACAACCTCGTGTCAATCACTAACCATGACAAGCATATCGGCTTTTATTATTATCATACTCCTCGCTAAGACACCATTCGTCTTGGGCGGCTCAGATACCTATCCGATCTCAAAAAATCATAAGTAAAAATGAATCCAAGGAGCATTCAAGATCAATAGAAATCTCAGACACATTCTAGCCAGATGCTGAAAAGGTGTAAATCTATCCGTCTCATCTAGACACACACGTAATCTTTACTCCTCCAATAGTGTAACCTTTTCTGTAAGCAGTCTTAGAAAATAGCCACTCGCTGTCTGATTTTCCATATACATCCAGTCTGTCTCCTCTGTCCTTGTAGAAATGGCAGATAAAGTTACACTAAAATTGCACTAACATTAGTCTTTGTTGTCTGTCTCATTAAAGCAACAAAGGAAAACAGCTCCAGAGATTTCAACACATAAGATGTGCACCAAGCTGCTGTAGTGTTTATCTGATCCCTGATCAGTTAAAATGCTGAATGATCTGTATGAGTGAGGGAGTGGCTAGCTAAACGGTTATTGTGGTAATTAAACTGCTAAAGTCCAGAGGTTCCTCTTCCTCTGCTTTTACCAAACACCTTCAGGTGCATTTACACCTCCCTCTGGAGAGGAGGAGGGCTGGCCCTGAATTGCATGTAGCCGGGAAAACCCAGACGGATTGCAATCAGGTTTGTGATCTGGCCAACAGAGACATATATGTGGTCATGAGTAGATGAAAGTGTCTTATATCTAATTTGGATATGGGCTAATAACAGACAACATCCCACCTTCAAGTTTAGCAACTTAATTATGGTCAGCAGCAGACATCTCCCTCATCCCTCTGTTGGTTTTGTTGCACATGTAATGTGGGACAACTTACACTGTTGACATCGCACAATTCCCATCAAAGCCTATAATATTTTCTTTTGAGATTAATTACACTCTACTGCACTACATCAGCACAATATTGTTAGAAAATTCAGTTACAAAATTCATTGTATTCTCAAAATGCTTGCATTTACACAGTTAAGCCCTCTCATAACAATAACATGGTTAACAATAAGAGGGCAACTGCTCTGAACTGTTACCTGCTGGAGCGCGCAGGGAGCCGTTGTTGAAGAAGCCATCAGAGGAGTTGTGGCGGCGGCGACTCACAGCAGTTCGGCTGTCTCTGTGGAGGTGGGGCTCACCTTGTTTCTCAAGGTTGGCAGCAGGGGACTGTAAGAGGCCAGAGGGGACATGGTTAGTCACAGCGGGAATCTTCACTGAGATGGTGTCTCTTCCAGGGAACACAAAAGAATAGAAAACTACAAAACAGCAATTCCAGGACATTTATTTTTCTCTACTTTAGCTTTGTGGAAGAAAAAACAAAACAACTCCTCTCAATACTCTGCATACTCTGAGTTCCTCTCTTAGTCATTGAAAATTTCAATGTAGTGATCTATTGTTAGGGAACGAACGTCAACAAAAACAGACATCATAGGAACTAAAAAAAGCCTTGGGATAGCTTTATCATGAGAAATGTTCTGTACTTCTTATAATAACTCACTCCATCACACTTCCAGTGGTTCTGAAATTTACATGTTTACATACACAAGTTGACTGTGCCTTTAAACAGTGTGGACAACTTCAGAAAATAATGTCATGGCTTTAGAAGCATCTGACAGGTTAATTGACATAATTTGAATTAAATTGAAGGGATAACTGTGGATGTATTTTAAGGCCTACCTTCAAACTCATTGCTTGACTATATGGAAAAATCAAAAGAAACCAGCCAACACCTCAGAAAAAAATCCTCCTTTGGAGCCTGAAGGTATCTCCTTCATCTGTACAAACAATAGTATGGAAGTATAAACACCACGGGACCACGCAGCTGTCATACCGCTCATTAAGGAGACGCATTCTTTCTCTTAGAGATGATTAACATTGGCACAAAAAGTGCAACGCAATCCCTAAACCTACCAATAGAAAAAGACCTAGTGAAGATGCTGGAGGAAACAGGTAAAGTATCTAAAGCAGCAGAAAAAATGTCGTATATCCATATGACCTGAAAGGCCGCTCAACAAGGAAGAAGCCACTGCTCCAAACCCACCATAACAAAGCCAGACTACGGTTTACAACTGCTCATGGTGGCAAAGATCTTCCTTTCTGGAGAATTGTCCTCTAGTCTGATGAGAGAATGGCCGTAATGACCAATCTTTTGTTTGGAGGGAAAAGGGTAAGGCTTGCAAGTCAAATAACACCATCCGTGAAGCACAGGGGTGGCTGCATCATGCTGTGGGGGAGCTTTGCTGCTGGAGGGACTGGTGCACTTCATAAAAATAAATGGCATCATGAGGAAACAACATTATGTGGATATATTGAAGCAAAATCTCAAGACATCAGCCAGGAAGTTAGGGCTTTGTCCTAAATGGGTCTTCCAAATTGACAATGACCACAAGCATACTGCCAAAGTTGTGGAAAAGTGGCTTAGGGACAAAAAAGAGTGGGCATCACAAAGCCCTGACCTCAGTTCAATTGAAAAAGTATAGACAGAACTGATCAGCACTGGGAATTTGATTTGAAATTACATTTCACATTCTTAGTGATCCTAACTGACCTATGACAGGGAATGTTGTTCACTTGGATTAAATGTCAAAGAGAATTCAAATGTATTTGACTCCGTAAACGTCTTGCCCAAATCACATTACCTTGTGAGGCAGCTAGATTTGAGAGAATTCACCCCTGATTGCTACATAGCCTGCCTCAATATATAGCAGATACACTGGAAGGGAAAGCTCCCGCGAAGGAAAACAGTACTGCCAAATCTCTACTGGTGGATACATTTCTACTGTCATATTACCCAACTTTAGTGTACATAATTGTCAATGCACTCTGATAATACTAACTGCAAATGCTCTCTTCCATCTGAATCATCTCCTTGTCATCAGATAAGGTTCAAAGATCAAATTAGATTGTGTTCTTCAGTCTATCTCTGTAAGTGTCATCTTGAGGAATTTTTATAACTTCAACAGATAATATCCAGCGATTTAATGTACTAAAAAACAAGAGAATAAACTGTAGCTCCAATCCTGGCATGAGTCTGTAGATTAATCCTTGAAGACAAATGACATTGAAGTGAAGTCATGTGTCAGCAGGACAGTGACTGCACACTTATTTCTCTGTCTTGACAGGCCACTTAGCTGGGCAACTCCGTAACTCACAGATTACACTGAGCTCTGGACAGGAGGAACACATTCACAATCTCAGATGGACAGTCAGACAGCTTAACACTTTTTAAAGGAATTAATTAAACACAGCCTTTGTCTCAATGGTTAGTGATAATGCTCCTGATACAGGAAAACAATGAAATCAGAGTCTGTCTGCTTGTTATTTTCCTATATTGAGATACCTCGTCACGCATTATGTAATGCAAGATGTAATATTGATTGCTTTTTTTGGTAAGCTTACTTAATTTATTTTAACTGTTGTACAGTGATGAAAACTGCATCACTTTACGGTATGTGGCTTTTGGCAAGGCAGCATTCAAACGTAGTCATATTAAACCCTAGTCACACATCATGATGTACATTTTATATAGATTTCTCTCTCTACCCAGAACATCTAAAATCACACCTTTGGGATTCGATCACAGCAAATCTACACAATCTTTAGAGCCTGTAATTTTGTCCAAATAGCAATTTAATTCCATTGTCATTTATTAAAAAAAAAAAAAAAAAAAAGATATAATACTCGTATACAAAAAACAATTATCACAAAACCTTCCATGAGTTTCTCCACCACAAACTACATTGAGTTGACATTTGATGTTACTCAATAGTTTCTTTTCTGCTATTATGAGTCTTTTCGTGAAGGCACACAAGGTCTAGGTGAACCTCGGCTGGGCTAAGTATTGAGGGTGACTCGCTGACCACACACACACACACACACACACACACTAAAAAGGTGACAATTATAATTTCGAGCTGCCTTTCTCAATTACTACAACACACCCAAATACATACAGGACACACACACACACACACACACACACACACACCTTGGCAGGCTGGGGCGTGGAGAAGTTAAGCCAGGCAGGGACAAAGTCATGCTGCGCCATTTAGGTCCAGTGTTTCCGGTCAGTGGATCGAGGCATCAAACCTCATGGCCAGGATCTAAGAAAAGAAATGGACAGAAGGAATTACATTTTTAAAATTCAGATTCAGCCATTTCAAGCACAGCAACATGAACATCAGTGAATCAAATTCCCTTTCATGCCCATCTATCTTTGATGTCATCTCTTCCAGTTTCCAAATTCACCACCTAAAGGTCTCCTTCAAGCCAAGCCAAAAAAGACTCCTATTCTTAGCAGAAAACAAAAGTGCGACTTGCTGCAGCGGTGCCTGTGAAGCTGATAACTGCTTGACAGCCTGGATGGAAAATATGTTGTGCAGCATAATACTTTGCAATGTGTGTATGCGATACATCTAAAGAGATCATCCTGCTTGAGATTGCTTTTATAATTAGATTTTTAAAACTATCATTCATACAAGGTGGAAAATTAACACCTACTAACCACAATATGTTGACAAATGACTTTTAAAAAAGGACCACACCACAGCAGCTAATTAAAACAGGCATGGATGTACAGTCAGGTGAAACTTTATCATTACCCCAGAGTCTGTGGCTCTGAAGTCCTCTGCCTCCTCTCTCGCTCCGGCTGGGCTCGGTTCCTCAGGCCTGTTGGCGCTGATCACTGAGTGTGTGCACTGACAGACAGGGAGCAGTACACCGACAACCCCCTCTCCAGCTCCGCCAGGACAGCACAGCCCCTTTCCCCAGAGGCAGATCCCTTCGTCCAGGGTGAAACACTGGGAGACGAGTCAAAGGGTCGCAGGAATGATCTGGAATGGTGATCCAGAGAACTGGCCAAGCAGGAAGTAGTTTTTAAAAGCAGAAGCGCACAGGGTTATGAGGGACAGATTTCCCTTCCTGAACCAGATTCCCAAGCAGCTCCTGTGCCGGTCACGTCTCTGATGAATTGATGATGATGAGTGCTACTGTTTCCAGTCAGATTGAATCCTTCACAAATGTATTTGAACCATTTGCTCTAAATGTCAGGAGTAAGACTAAAACCTGATTGGACTTTATGCTGATTGGCAAAATGAACTGATTTGTCCTAACGGCAAGGAAGAGCCAGGTTCTTATTATTAATACAAGGAAGCAGTCTGGGAAAATCTTCTGCCCTGAAGTATGGACAGCCGTTAGTGTAGCAGTTCCACTTTGACACACGATGGGGGGAGAGACAGGCGTCGTCCTGCCACACTGTGTGCCAGTATGTTTTAGCGCGGACGGACCTTTTACCGAATCATTTTAAGATCTACTGAAACAGCATGCAGAAAAGAAAAATGAGTTCAGAGACTCTTTTACTGGCAATGGAGGTCACTGAAAGCCACTGCTCACCTCATTAAACTGATGAAAAAGACTGTCTGAGTTTGAAGAAAATAATGCTGAAAGGTTCAAAGTCACATGACAATGAAGGAAGTAAAACCCTATGTTACATTGCTGTCATTTTCAGTTTTGGTTAGTGAAACAGGGATGCTGCTGGATGATGCATTATAGTGGTGTTTTTATCTTTATATGTTTTAATATCACATTTGTAAGATGACCATTTAATTATCAACAGCTTTCTGATTGAAGCAGATATAGGGTATAGCTCTGATTTCATAGATATGCAAGCTGAAAAGCCAAACAAAAATCTTCCACAAGTCAAAAGGTCTTTGTGTGATGCACAATAGTTGCTTAACAACAATTAAACTTGTCCAAAAAGAAATCCTTAAGAAAAGCTCAAACAACTCCTTTTCCTCTGTGCGCAAAAAAAATGAAAGTTGAAAAACATCATGTGTCCAAAATGTGTCAAGTGGGTCTTTCCTTTGCTTCTTGAAGTTGTTTCTCTCACATGAAGTTTCTGTGCAGTTGTCTGTTTCTTGCTGAGGGTTCACTGGTATCAGCACGGGAACAGAGTGGACCTGCATTAACATAAACAAAAGAAAAATCATCAAGCTCCAGGAGCTTGCCACGAAGTTGCCAGCTAAACTAATACAGATTAATGCAACAGTCCTGTAATAAACCCTACCTTACTTAATAAAAGTAACGCTGCAAAGATTAATCTAACAATAGATTAGTCGCCAACTATTTTAATCCATTAAATCGGTTACAGTCATGTTTAAGAAAAATTCACTGATTCCAGCTTCTTAAATATGAATGTGTTCTGGTTTCTTTACTCCTCTACGATAGTGGACTGAATATAGTTGGGTTGTGGACAAAACAAGATATCCTAGGATCCATTTTCTGACGTTCTATAGACCAAACAACTAACTGATAAAATAATCAACAGATTAATAATCATTAGTTTCAGCTTTAAACAGAATTAAAAGGTAGGATTTATTTGTGTTATTATTTGAACTGTGGTAGAGGTGTTGATTCAGCTGAATGTTTGTGGTGCTGTTGAATTATGAAGGGACTGTAATATTTAGCCAACCCTTATTGAAGTAAATAGGGTGGACAAAACATTTCTCAAAATATTAGAAAACTCAGTACAATGCAATATAATGTCACAGCATCATACACTAAAATAACTATTAATTTGATTTTGACACCTCTCTATAACGCATCCACAGCAGGACTGTTTTATTAGACCCAGTAGATTTTACTTAGGTGCGCCTAATAAGCTGACCACTGAGAAAACTGAGAAATCTAGCTTAAACTAAGATTTCCTTTCATTTCTCTGTACCTTTGTTTCTGCAAATATCCAAAGTACATTTTTCAGACATTATGACAGAAACTCCTCCTTCACTGAATATCTTTATTAAACTACCAAATAGACTCCAATTCAAGAGACAACCTATGCCTTTGGTAAGAAACTGCGTTTGACACATGACTCAGTGATGTAAGAGCCATTTCATGCTGAAAGCTGGCACTTTTATAAAATTGTCTAGGCTTTGGTAAATTAAATATTTATACCAGTGTAAAAATAACTTCTACGCTTTCTTCCTCGGCACTTCTCCCCAGACTGCTGCGCATCTAAACAGGCCTGGCAGTGAGGGTATTATGATGGATGAAACTGAGGTTTACAACTTATTCTTCAGTCCTACACCTTGTTCAATCATGCCATATGACACAGCTTTAATACCTGAACAAAAATAAGCCCTGTATACACAAAATCAGAACTACCTCGTCAACGTATTCCCACTGCGCTATTACGTAACAGCTCGACATCAATGAGTTTGCCACGGACACGGGCTACAATGTGCAGCACACACTTTACTTCCCTGTGAAACAATACTCACATGAATGACGGCAACACAAACGCTGCTAATTTCCATTAAAGTATCCACTTATACATTATTATATCCTGTGTGGAACTCACGTGTCCACAAACACTGCAGCAGCCCACACTTGAACAAACAGTGATGTTACATGCACGTTTAACCAAGCTAACTAGCTGAGTAATGTTATGGATTAAAGTGCATCGAAATAAATTAAGACGCAAAGCCGCCATGGTGTTAACTAACTATTCATCGTTCATCACCAACTAATAACGTTATCAAATGTGTCCTAACTCTGCTGCTATCTTATTGCTTAGTTAACTAAGGTTAACGTTAGCGTAGCAATTGTTAGCTGATAGCTGGCGTTACCCAGCCTGTTTACTAGCCCACGAAAACTGCTATATGGTTGGAATGAATTAGTGCAGTTAGGGGGCTTAGCAAAGTAAAAACGTATTTAATATGCTCACGGTGGCTAAAACTGTCTATTTAAACAACTGTCACGAACATACAATAGAGGTAAACAGACCTGGCTTCGTTTGAACAACACGATTCCAAAATGGCTACCTTAGCAGCGGCAGCACACATTCATCAGCTTGCTAAGTGCTAGCGAGCTAACTTGCAGTGTTTCATGACGATACCGTGTAGCTGTTACCTTCTCCTGAGCAAGATAGCCTCCGATAGAGAATTATTCATATATATGTATACAATCTGCAAGAATTACCGAGATTACACTCTGTCGCGGCTATAAACGTCTTTAATAATAGAGCTATTGGTGTTTGTTTGGGTTTTCGGAGCGCTTACCACTGGCGCTGGCACTGAGGGATTCGAACAGCCTCAATGATGCTACGTTCAAGATCTGCCATGATTATGCAACTTAACGATGTTCCACAGTGTTTTTAAAGTCGAACCGCCTGCAGTTTCTGTAAATACTTTATCAAGCGAGACACCACAGTCAAATAGGCTCTACTGTTTTCTCAACTTTACTCATATCACAATGAAACTTTACATAAATTGAAGTTGTTGTTTTTTTTTTATTACAACTTGAAATTTTAGAATATGCAAATGAGGTATGTTCTCATTAAGTATGCACTGTATCACACATCCATTTTCCGGCACTTTGGTAAGAGTTAGATGTTTTTTTTCTGTATTATTGTGATTATATATCAAATAGACAGACATTTAGACAGACATATAGTGTGTATATTATTTATACATCTACAGAAGAAATGCAAACCATTCTACTTTTATTGTATTGGTCTTTACATTCCTCTGTACTGCTGTAACAACAAGAATTTCACCTATGGAGGATTAATAAAGGCATATCTTATCTTATCTTTTTGACAGAATGGTTTATCAATATACCAGTCATATGTGTGATGGACCCTTTTTTCCCCAGTTATTTACAGATAAAGTACAACTTAAAATGTGAATAATAAAAGACATATTTTTAAAAAACTCTCTACAAATGTCTAGCTATAAAACCTAAAATTATGATGATCTAACTTCCTTCAAAGTCGAGGGAAATGACTTGGAATACAGGAAACATGTCATATTGAGAAAAAGGGCTGTTAAAGATTAGCTAATGCATTAGAAACACACTTAGCATATAAATTACTGTTTGTAACATGAACACATGTCTTACAGACATATGATAAATTAACTAGCCAACATTGTGCTCTAGAAAACTAGCTTTTCAAAAGACCAATTGAACTTTTACATAGAAAATGCTAACAAAGATGAAATTAACGCGATCTGCTTTTTATTGAATTGGTATAAAATAGACAAATAATATTTTTTATATATATTATTAAAGATTGTGTAGTACATTTTATAAAAGTATGGTAAGGATAGTTGCAAAATAAATTCAAATCTGAAAGTTGACAGATTGAAATCATTAATTTGGACAGTGGTGTCTCGCCTTCAATAAAACATAAAAATGTCCAAACCTGAAATTACCACACAGTACTTTTTGAATATTTTTCATATTAGTCTCAGAACACTGTGCTGGTAGCATGTATATTTGGATTTTGCCATATTGAATATAACTTAACACCTCCCCCGCCCCCGACAGCCAAACCAGTCGATATCAGAACCAGTCTGCTTCAGTTGGTTTGAGGAGATCATGAAACATTTAATCGAGCACCGATAGAATGGCAGCCAGCAAACGACCTCTAGTTTAGCTAGTTAACTGGATCTGTTAACTCAATGCAAGTGTGCCTGCAGTGGCTTTGGTAAACCATTGAATGACAAACAATTAAAGGGTAACGTTTACGTAACTGTAACCTCTGTGGTTTATAGGTTGTTACAGTAGAATAGCCTTGTATTGCATCAGGTTGAGCAAGTGGCATGCTATCTGTTAATAGCACGTTAGCATGGGGTGGTTATAGACTAATTAAAACCTCATGCGTTATGGGGCCTGTTTTATTGCTGATAAATAACTTTTCTTTTTCAGGTTGAAAATGATTAGATTTGCAGCTGGAAGACGCATAATTTCTGGGGTGAGATTAAAATAGAATTTGAGTGTTGATTAATACCTGCTTACTATGAAAACAGAGGTACTGTATGTGCCAGCATTATGTAACAGTAAAAAGTCATGATGTTTATGCACCCTTTATGATTATTATGTTCTCAGGTTCCAGTATGGAGATGTTTTCAGCAGATAACCAGAGCACCAAACTACACAACAAAAGCTCAGCAGCTGTTTCCCTCTCAAGCCTTCTCTGTGTTAATGCCATCCAGACTAACATCCACAAACAGGATGTTGAGCGTCAGGCCCGTGGGCTGGCCTGTCTCACGTCTCTGCCACGGGGATTCACGAGGCGCCTCAGGGATAGGCGACAGAAAAGAGGGTTTCAGTTTAAGGGCCCTCACCCAGGCTCCCAAACCAGCTCTTTATCTTGGTTTCTCTGGCCTCTTGCCTTTTCTGTCAGCTCCTCTCCTGATGGCTGCCACACAGTCCTTCTACCCTGAACTGGCATATGCTCAAGTGGTCTACGGAGCCTCTATAGTCTCCTTCCTTGGAGGTGCCCGCTGGGGGTTTGCCATCCCTGCCGGTAGTCCTGCTCAGCCTGACTGGATGAACTTGGGCAACAGTGTGTTGCCTTCACTTCTGGCCTGGCTGGCACTGCTCTGCAGGGACAATATTGCAGAGGGAGCACTGGTAGTTATTATGGGATTGGGTCTATCTCTGCACTTTGACCTGACCCTGCTGCCTGGCTACCCCTCCTGGTTCAAAGCCATGCGAACTGTCCTCACTCTGGTCGCCACCTTCTCACTGGTGGCTACCCTGACAATTAAACAATTCTACCCTGAGAAGAAGATAAAAGAGTCTCAGGACTGATTTAAGAGGGCAGTTTGTACTTCATAAAAATGTAAATTGCACATCTACAGACAATTGGTTTTGTTCATACTGTAGACCAACTCACAGTAAAAATAAGTTAATAAAAAAAGTTGTGTAAATGTAAAGGCATAAAGGTGGCATATCATTTAGAAACTGAACAAAAAATGTTTTCTCAGTTGCCAAGTGGGCACTGAAATTCAGAGGATCTAGATTAAAATATCCAAATGTAGAAAAAGTCAGATTTTTAAAATGAATGTAACATGTATCATCTATCAGAAAACATTTGTAGAATCACAATCTTTGCTGGGAAAAGTAGACAAAAAAATACCCTTATTGATAATCTGTTTGGATATGGCGATTTTACATGTGCAGAGTTTAGACAATGTTGTCCATTATTGTATAACTCCTGACTGATACAAGTCAAAACCACAGCTGAAGAAATGCGTGGGAAATTTGTAAACTGCTTTCTTAAGTTTTTTAAAGGTTATTTATACAGTACCATTTCTGTTTTTATTAATTGTTCCCAAACACCCTCACCATCTTTTTCTCTCTGCCTCTTTCATGACTCTATTGTGAGGAGCTACACTATATGATACATAGACCTATATATTACATCAGTCATGTAAAGATGTCATGTTTTTACACATCACAACTTTTGAGTTCAACATGTAAGTTTACCGTGATATTGACATTTAGTGCAAATGTTCAGTGTAAATCCATGCTGGAGATAAGTGATCCCACATTTTATCTTGTCTGGGAATAGTGCCACATCAATACCAAACAACCTTGAGGCTTTATAGTAGCAGACCTCAGCCAAGTAGAAGAATGCAGCACCTAATAAAAAAGGTCACTAGAGAGCTGATGAAACAGATGAACTGAATTGAGGAGTACGCTTTTTCGTTTAATGAGGTGCCACTAATCCAGTGAGATGTCAAATGTAATCTAACAGAGCAAGTGTTGCTACTGTAGATTGCTTGTTTGCACAGTGCAGATCCTCTCTCTTACAAATATATAGTCAACACAGGATTTTTTTTCATAAACTAAATACACAAACTCAGTGTGATGTTTACAGTTGTGTCTTTGTGCTGTAATTTCACAAAAGTACAGACTGCAATCATACTAGCCTAACATACCTCCATACCATCATGTTTGCACAGGACTACTGAAATTTAAGTTTTGTATTTTAAAGATAGAGGGAATGTCCATTTTATGAAGTTTATTAAGTCTGAAAAGCAACCACTAAAATGTTACTATTATTAATATTCTGTTGTTTAGAAATGGATAACAGTACATGCTAGGAAATATTGTTACAGTGCACCAGCTCCAGTCAGCTTGCAAATGTGATGAGGAAACAAAGTAACTTACCATAAAGAAGGTAAACACATTTCTAATCATGTGCATTGCCTGTATCTTAACATCAGAAAGTTGAAATGTAAATTCTAGCAATATCAGGTGCCACTGTTGAGTGAATTGTCTTGGATTTAAGTGTAAATGGTGACTCGGAGGCACTATTATTTACAGCATCATATATATACAAATAAATCCAGTGAAAATGATTGAGTGATAACCTCACTGATGTGACAACAGTGGTGTGCTGTTCAAGTTTATAATTATTTAGAGAAATCACATTGGAAATTTGGTTCCATTATTAAATAGGCTTAAGTGGTTTGATAAAACTTACAAGTAGCAATGCACTCACCTCAAACAGGAAATATAAAGAGAAAACAAAGGGAAAAAACTGTGCTTTCACATTCTATGCAAGAACAGTGTCCACAGTCCCCATAGGACTCTTAGACATGAGAAGAAAAACTCTCTGGTCCATCCAAAATAGAACTCCTCCGCTGTGAAAAAGTATCCTCATCACAAGGATCGCTTCGTCTTCAAACACTCAAAAGGGAGAAACAAGGGTACTGCCACTCTTATAGTCTTGTAAATTGATTTAGTGAATTGAAAATAGAGAGACGGACGAGTTCTGTAACAGTGTAAGCGGAAGCAGTTTTCCAGTTTTAGATCTGCTGTCATATTCTTATGCTCAATAAATGTCAAATGTTCTGGACAAATAAAAAAGAAAAACATGTCTAATTAATTTATAAATAACACTTACAATAATGTAAAATACTAATTGATACAGAAACACACTTTAGTGTTTCTTAAGGTGCAGCTGTTCTGTTTTGGGATGATTCAGGTGCTGATATGGACGTTCACAATTTGAATATTCCTGGCTGTCAGAGCACAGCCAGTCCGCCGTCACAGCGGCTGGTGATCATGTTGCCAACTTCAGTCCAGGTATCCAGGTGTGGGTCATAGATTTCCACAGAGTCCACCGTCACCGGTGCAGAGAAGTCTCTGCTGGCGGCCCTGCCCCCGACGGCGTACAGCAGCCCATTAACTGCTGACACTGACACGCCTGCACGAGCTGTAGACATTGAGGCCACCTCAACCCATTTCTCCTGTAGAAAAACAAGGACAGAGGCGAGTAGATGTTAGGACACAGATAATACAGAAAACTGAAATTAAATGAAAGGTCTCTAGTGACCCTTAACAGTAACATATCCCCCTCTTTACCTCTTCTGGACAGTACTTCTCCACTGTCTCTAGTGCACCCAGTGCCTCATTCCACCCGCCCACCGCGTAAATGCAGTTATTGAGGCAGGCGACGCCCACGTAGGCTCGACGTGTGACCATGACGGGCAGGGCACTCCATCGACGGGAGATAGGGTCATACACCTCAGCTGAGCGCAGCTCCATTCCTTCGTCACTGATTCCACCAATCACATAAATAAACCCTGGAAGAGACAACTGGATTTATCTCAGAGCTGCTTCGCTGATGTCGTCAGAGAAACAAAGAAATAAACTTTAGTAAACCGAAGCAGGAAGGGGGGGGTTCACTGACACTTATGTTATGGTGTGCGAACACTGATAAAAGCTTTTAACCTCACTTCCAAGTTGCACTGGATTATACACATTTATTTTTCAAAAAAAGGTAGAGGAACACACCTTGTAGCTCACAGCAGCCAAAATAGTAACGAGGAACCGCCATGCTGCCAATGACCTCCCACTTGTTCTCCTCTGGGTCATATCGTTCCATGGTCTTCCCAATCTCAGAGCCAATCCAACCACCTTACAGAGAACAGTGCAATCATCACGTCATGTTCTCTGTCTGAAGTTTCCCAAGATGCTGGTTATGAAGTATCAATTAAATTTCTTATTGTTGAACTTTTTAAACTTGCTTTTTGCTTTTTTTCTACCATTTTCTACGTTGTTTTGTTCTGATATTGATGGGATTCAAATCTGCTTGTACTTTTTTTTGTTTCTTTCTTTTACAAATCTACAAACATTACTACTTCTGTTTACATTTTTGGTTATGTTTACAATGTACAATTGTTTCATTGATTTTCACTTTTCACAAAGGCAACATTTTTCATTTTTAGTACGGTGTACATGTTTTCAAATCGGAGCAGAGATGACCCCAGTGATGTCACTTGAGTAGTACTAACCATGACTAGTAAACTGATCTGCATGTGTGAAATCGGTTGGGGTGCCCTTTTAAAACTAAAGTACCTGTTTGAGCTGGATGTGTTGTGGCTAAACACAGTGATTGTATTAATGTGGCATTTACCAAGTGCATACAGAGCTCCGTGGCAGGGGCAGACGCCAACTCCACAGCGAGGAAAGTTCAGAGACGCCACAGCGGCCCACTGCTTGGTCACTGGGTCATATCTCTCTGTGCAGTCAAAAATCATTGAATCTTTCTCCCCTGGTGACAAAAAAATAATTCCTTGTCAGACTGAAGACTGCTGAGGTTCTTGAAGAAGGCTTGAAGACAAACACAAGACAGCCGTGCTCTCTCACCTCCCACCACGTAGATCATGCCCTCCAGTACTGCCACCCCCAACCCGCTGCGGGCCTGGTGCAGGGACGATACAGTGGTCCAGTACTGGTTAAAGGTGTCGAAGCGCTCCACACAACTCAGTGCCCGGCTGTCACTCCAGCGACCGCCCTGTAGCCGAGTGTAGCCTCCTGCCACAAAGAACAGAGTAAAGGTCTAAGGCTATATGGCATTTCTGACATTTCTTATTTGGAAGATTTTAGGTACAGTACTTATTTAAACTGTCTTCAATCACCAAATTTCATCAGGTGACTTTTCTATGCTTTAGAAAGTTATTTGAAACCGAACCTATAGCATATAGGTATTTCCTGGCTTTTCTTCTGGGTCTCATCTTGGCTGGTTGTAGCTGACTGTACATCTTATTTTCTTTGGGAGACTTTGTGACTTCAGTGTATTCCTTCAGCAGAGTCTGCAGTGCCACCCGCAGGCTGAAGTCCGTAATACCTTTATTGAAGACAAAATGGTATATAATTTAAGATGTTGTTTACAATGTGTCTTCATCTAACCAATTCAACACTGTGAATATAAATCATTAAGTATGTAAAATATAGTGCAAAATGTTACATTTTCCCTACCCTCTATGTACTTGAACAGTCTCTGTGGGGAAAGCAGAGGGAAGCGGACTGGTTCCAACACCTCCACTACATGTTTTTTCCTCTTTGCTACGTCTTGGAGAACCCAGTCCATGGCTGCAGTGAATACCTGGTACTCATCCTCAATTCTCAGCTCTTCACTCCTAAGCAGCCTCACCAGCTGATCCTTCGTAAGGCCCCTGAACTCATCAGTGACACACACCTAAAGGGAGGCAGTTGACAGAGACAGTCTCTAAGGATCAAATTTAGATAAATAGTAATAGAGAGATAAATGGTAAGAATATCATGCTGTTAAAATGCTGATGGTGTTTGAGTGGCCTTGTTTTGAATACGGACAGGATAAGAACAGATGTCATGTACAGCTAGCTTTAATTTACCAGGGAAAAACAGAATAGAGTTTGACAGCAACAACAGAGTATTGGCAGAGAGATAAAACGACATACAGTGTCTCTCATTGTTACATACCTCCAGAAAGTGAACATGTATGTAGTTCTCAGTGAACTCCAGCATATCAATGCAGGCAATCTGCTCCAGGAACTGAAAGATGCCCACACAGTTGGATGGGTCCATATGGCCCTTGAGAAACTCTCCACAGATGGACACCACCTCATTTAGCTGCAGCATGTCTGCGGCCACCATCAGCTCCTGGACATTCTCCACCGTCACACTGATCATGCCTGACAGGAAAGGGTAGACATTTCCTTTCAGAAAATGGCATAAAATTATGGAACACAATGATGGGAATATCAAGATCATGCGGACCTGTGTATATGAAGTCCAGCAAAACCTCAAAGACTTCAGTTTCCACTCCAAGGATCTGCACTTCCTCTTTATCCGCCTCCCTCATACCCCCGGAGAACAGAGCGGAGAAGTAAGGGCTGCTAGCAGCAAGAACAAGTCGGTGGACCCTGAAGACACGGCCTCCAACTTTGAGCCCCACGTCACAGAAGTCGGTGCGGAGCCGCATCTTGTTCATTTGGGCCAGGATGAGTCTGGCGTAGCGGTCTGAGGCCAGCAGAGCCTGCTCGGCCGCTTGGGTTGCCATGGCAGCTGCGGCATCACCACCACTGCCACCACAAGTGGATGCTGACACAGAGGTGGAGGACATGGCAGCTGGGGCAGGTCTGTGTTAACATGGAGGCCAGGATTTCCAAACCCTCCTTTCTAGTGAGTCTCAGCATAAAACAGGCCTGAAAGAAACATGACCTGATTGCATAAAAAACAAAACACAAAGAGACAGAGACACTTGACTGTTGTGTAACAATACAAAACTGTGGCAATTCCGGGTATATAATAAATGACAAACGTATAAAAAAACGACTTTCTCGACTGTGACATGGTAAAGCACACTGGTGCAGTCAGAAGTAAGTTACTGTCCGTCACTCTGTTGCTTTATTACCTATACAAAACACCTGCCGCCGCCGTTAGCCAGGCATGCTAACCCAACAGAGAGCAGGATTCAACCATCATATTCACCGTAAAAATGTTCAGCTGAAATCAGACAACTTTACTCCTCGGCCAATCCCTGCTCAGAGTTTCAACTCGCAGGGGACTGCGCACTTTTATAGAAAATAAATGTCTAAATTCTGCTGATATTTAGCCGCGACTTACCCATAAGTTTGCTGATAAGGATGCAAGCAACTTCCGTTACCCTGCAGACTGTCAATCCTTTCTTCTGGAATCGACTGCACTGGCAGCCTGGCCACGAGCCTGGCAGATGAATCTCCAGTCATAACTAATCAATCCCCGAGAACGTTCACCTTTTCGGTTTACCTTCTGTCAGTGACCCTGGTTGTCTCTCTTGGGAAACAAAACTTTAAATTAAACGAAGGCGTGGCTTATTTCGTTTTAATTATTTATATATTTTCTTATTTTGGTCACTTTACCCAAGAATCTGCGCCAGGATTGCCATAACACACAACGCCAGATGGCAGTGTTGCCTTTGATCAAGCAGCTAACAAATGGAAGCCCTTGACAACAAGCCACACAACCTACTGTGTAAATTATCATAGTGTTCTTAGCATGTCAGCCCCCAGCAGAATGGTAATTATAGATGTAGCTATCCTCCACTGTGTTGGTTGTAACCTCTTCCACTAGAGACTCGACCAAGCCTACCACCTAGTCTACTCTTAGACAGTGGCAATGGGTAGTCCAGTTTGTTTTAATCAGTAGCCTGACATCAAATTAGTTTAAAGATTATGTTGGAAACCTGCTATTAGATACAGAACTTTAGCACTGCTTGGGCCCATTAGACCTGTCTGGTCCACTGTATTGAGGTGAAAAACGCTTTTGACAGTTACAAGAAAAAGTCCTGTAACTGTCACTGGACTTGTATTTCCTGCTATTTCATTGTGTCATCCAGCTTGCAGTGTACAAGGGAATATGTGGTGGCACCAACATTGGCCAATTAAAACTCAAAGGTAGATATGTGCTAGCCTGGCCACCCTTTGTACTCCACAATTGGTTGGGTTTCCCTTTTGTTGCCCTGTAGGCCTATTGTTAAATTTTCACCGTGCCCTGTTTACCTAAAGAGAATCCACAATGGCCATTATCTGAGCTGAACAATTAGGTTATTGGATTCATCTTAAATGGATTCTTAGTAAGCCAATGTAAGGTAAAGCTCACCTTCTGAACTGAGTGAGCTTTGAAAAACACCACCTGCCACTTTAAGCAAGTAAGTAAAAAAAGTTTATTTAACATAGCACCTTTCATAGAGCAAGGTCACAAAGTGATTTACAAGAGTAAAACATCAGAAATAAAACCACCAAAACACAAAGAAACAACAATAAATCATAAGCAATAACAGACCTTAAAAGTCACACATGTTTGTACATATTAGACAGCATGAGGCAGAACAAAGGCCAGTTTCAATAAAAGAGTCTTCAGCTTCTTTTTAAATGTGTCAACAGAGACAGCAGAACGTACATAGAAGGAGGAGCATTGTGGGAGTCAGGAGTTCCAACGCAATTCATCACCTTCTGTTTTTAGTCGAGCACAAGGAATGACCAGTAAGCTCTCGACCTAGTGGTGATACAGGGGTGTTCCTCCTCCAAATATCTTGGGAGAAATTTGAAAATGCTATGAGAGACTACAGTGAGTTTGAGAACATGAAAAGCATCATTAGTTAGCCAAACAATCAGTCTAACTCTGAGCTGCCATATTCACTGCTCTAATTTCTCACAATTGACCTTCAGTATAGACCTTTCCATAAGTAAACATGAAACTACTCAACAGCGTTTTAACCTGTAATGGGATATCTTCCCATTTAAATGCTGATCAAACTGTCTTAACTTGGCTACATGGTTATCAGAGAACCAAAACAAAAATCTGGAAGGCGAAAGCATGATCCATCCTCAAAAAAGATACATTTTTTGTTGGAAATGGCACGATCCCTATCACTTTTTCTCAAAAACGCTAGAGTTATCTTAGATCAAGAGCCTTAGTGGTGTTTCATTAAAGTGTGACTGACAACAGCCTGCTTTCAGTCAAAGGATAATACACGCTAAGGGACAAACATTTTTACTAGAAGTCCAACATATATAGGCAGAAAACAGGCCTTGGATAAATGCTTTAAAAACTCTTTAAGAAAAAAAACTTTATTACAGATTTTTCATGTGTTTCAGCTTTGCCTTTTGTTCTTACTGCTGCCTGGACAGGTGCCTCTAGTAAAACAGGTTTTAATTAGTAGGTGAGGTGCTAAAATGAATTTGAGTGAGGTGACGGAGACTCTTCTGGCAAAAATGGTTCCATTACAATGTGATGTTTTTTTGGTGGGGGGGGGTTGTTGATGGGCTGGCGATGTTTTTGCATGTCATGAACATTGCAATTATTTTCTCCCTTGCTCCCAGAATCTCCCATGCGGGAGAAAAAGTAAATAGTGTGAGGGTCATCCTATGGAAAGTGGTCACCATAATTACCATTCTGTTTTAAGTGCAGGGTATGTCTGACTTTTTCATCAGGGTATGTCTTCTGGCTAGACATTGCTTTCACCAGGAAAGAAAAACATAATGAGACAAAACTGACAGTTTAAGGGGTTCTTATGGGAGTAGAGTTCAGAGAGTACATGAGTAGCCCTAAATCATACCAGATAACAAAACAAGTACAAGTTTTATTACTATTTTTAATATTGCTCACATACTGTAGGAATCCCAGTTGTATGTGTATTATGTGTTAATAATACAATTTCCTTCTTATTATAACATTGTAGTTGCAAATGATCTTGCCAACGTGTTTGTTCTGATATTGTCAGACAAGAATCCTGTCCTCACCTGACAGGAGTGGCCTTCCTGATCCTGGCTTCACCAGCTACGCTGTACAGACAGTATTGTGCTTTCAGACCAAGCTGGATTGAGTTGAACTCTGAAGCTTCTCTGCACTGGAGCTGGTGTCTGTCAGTCCTGTGCCACATTTTGTTTGCTGACCATGTGCCTGCTGGTACTTTTTTAATCTATTTGAGAGCTCAACTCCCGGAATGAGATTGTCTTGAGTGATTGAGGGACGATAAGGTCCTTCATTTTATTCCAGCTGAAATCATGAAGGAGGATTGTTTCCTTGAGAGAAAAAAAAAATACAGTGCAATTTGTATGTCACATATTGAACTGGAAATCGTACAAACCTGTTTGGCATTCATCCAAAAGGAGAGTCATTATTTTAGAGTTGAGTCAGTATCCCGCTCTACCTGTTTCAAGGAGGTGGGATCATCTTCCATCCCTGCCTGAGCTGGTGTCTGCAAATCTGATTTGGTTGTGGATTTGGATAGGCATTTCTCCTGAATGGTTTGTCAGCAAGCAGTAGTATGTTATCCCCTTAGAGGAGAGAGCTGGCTCAGTGTCAACTCTCATATGTGTGATCCGAGCCCCTTCCTTCAATCACTGTTACCAGAGGTTACTGAGATAGCCAATAAACGATCATTCTTGGTTTGGAAGCATCCAATGAGCTAGTATGAAGTGATGCCATGCTACTATATCTTATCTTTAAGTTTGATTTAGGAAAATTGCAATTTCATGCAATTTCACTTTTGTTTTTTGTTTACTTAAGAGTTAACAAAGTATAGTAAAGTAAGTATAAAGTTAAATAAAGTATATCTTCTTCTTTTTAATAGTGCAATGATGGCATCTTATTCTAAATTGATTAATGTTCATATACGCTTAATGTTATTTTCTTTTTTGATTTTTATTTGAGAACACATACAAGTCAAGCAAGAGGCCATGGGCATGTTTCAGTTAAGCCACCAGGACGACATATGGCTTAAAAATCCCTATGTGATTAAGTATTATCCCAAATATTTTGTTGAATGTACAGTATTCACTGCAACATTCAATGTCTTGTTTAGCCACTGCTGTAAATGGAGGCTTACTGAGTAATCAGACATGTTGTTATTTTTGGCTATTCTTTAAATGGATACCCAAGATATATATATATATATATATATATATATATATATATATATATATAGAGAGAGAGAGAGAGAGAGAGAGAGAGAGAGAGAAAAAAAAAAATTATATACAAATTTTCCCAACATTTTCATTCTAAAACTTTGACATGCATTACTAACCATACTTCCTCCAGGGTTGAAAACAATTTTCCAGCTTAATTTTCTAGCTTTGCCGTGACCTCAGCAACTCAGTGGTGAGCAACCTGTGAACCTAAATTCCTAAATAAACAGATATGTACATGCATATACAGATGCATACAAAAATATCCAGACACATTGTTTAGCTTGTATGTGTGGGGGTATTAGATAGGCTTCAGAGAAAAAGTGGAGCTGGTGTGTTTAATGGTTCAGTCTGCAGCCTACATGCTGCTTGGCAGGCAACAGTATCTCTTGCCTTCAGCCTATAAGCCAGCTATAATGTGAGCTAGTAAAAAAGAGAGGGGGAAAAATCCCTCTCTCTTATCGATTCTGCCTCCAACATAGCAACTGGTTGCTGATTGGCCGACGTTCTGCACGTCCACGGCCTTCAATTGGCTGATAGGGTAGCGTGAAAACGGTGGAATCAGACGGAGACAGAGGGGAGGAGAAACGCGATTGGCTGCGGCCAAACTGAAAGCGAAAACCTCTTTTTCTGAAAGCCTGCGAGACAGTTGATGGTGTCTGTTTTTAGGCGTGACTCCAAAGGTAATTCGTCCTGCTGCCACCCCCCCACCCCATCCAGTCAGGACTTCTTTAGCTTGAGAACTATAAAGCAAAATGACTGAATTTAAACGAGCCACTTGTAAGACAGATGTGTGGTGACAAGGAAAGAAAGAGGGAAGTAAGGATAGCAGAAACTGTGCATGTTTGAGTAAGAAAATATTAAACTCAGCTTCAGGGAGCTATGGTAAATAGGCCTGAGCACTGGTAGCTAAACTGCTGTTAAACCAAAATAGATTTGGAGTAAAGCCGCCAGGTGTTTCAGGTTAAAGGAAATATAGCAAAAGCCTAGCCTTCATTTTCATACCATCCTGTAGCTACAGGAGTGAGCGTGTAATGCACATTTTGAGCACTCTTTCCTGTCCCTCCTCTTTTCCTGTATGACTACCCCACAACACTTTCTCCACCCGCTCTCCCTGTCTTTTGGACACTCATGCAGTGTGACTCAGCGCTGGTACAGTCTGTCCTCTCTATCTTCCCTGCATCTGGTCCATTGTAGCAGATCACGCATGTTTTCTTGTCCACCAGCTCTCTATGCTGACACAGGTAAGAGGGAGTAATCCGTGGCCTGGAACTGAGGCTCTCCCCCAGTACATCCCCGCCCTCTGCACCTCATTAATCCCTACCTAACACGGACCTTATGTGATGGTTGAAATAGGCCACCTGTTGCTCGATCTGGTCAGGGATAGCTAGTGGTGATGTCACCCAGGGTCATCATCATCATAATTATCATCAGTGGCCACTATATCATAAGGTTTACACAGTACCCTACAGTATTTCTTTGTAGATAGTGCTAAAGTTATCTTTAATTTGGAGCACATTAATTGTGTGTAATTATCAGATAACAATGGTGTTGACTGTGTGATACACTTCTGGAGACATAACTCAAATCTGCCCTCAAGCTGGGTGGTATCAAATGTTTACAGTCGAGCTGCATTCCTTTCGCAGGAGCTTCAAAACAGTTCTGTTTCAAAATACAGCATGTTCATGGTGAAGTAGGTTTGATAGATAGCCAGAATGAGTGGGGAAAGGGCCTGCACATATCCTGCTATTGTCTTTATCGCTTCCTTTTGCTTCCATCTGTCCACAGTGTGTCCTCCAGTGCCCTGGCTGCCTGCTATCTCTGCTGACCCAAGGATAAGCTCATCAGGCGACAATGGCTCCACTAGAGACAGATGGTAAGTTTTAGATCTGTTTTCCACCCATGTCATACAAATTGTAACATTACTTGGAAATAAAGCTCCTAAAATCTTTTAAAATGGTTATCTGAAATGATAAAAGTGATAACAGCAATGCACTGTGGAAAAAAACAATGGATTACATAAGTTGACAAAACCCTCATCAGTTTATTGTCTTTCAGCAAGAAAAAGGTCAGGATCTCACACTGCTTAGCTTCACCCAAGGAGTTTCCTCAATGCCCCAGTGGAGTTATATTTTTATAAGAGGCTTAATCACCCTCCTTCCATAAACCAACCTCAGAAATAAATTTTACACTTTTTCTGTACAGAGTATCTATTGTCCTCAAACTTGAAAAATGTGCCAAGTTCAACATGGATTCCTTTCCTCTTAAGCTATGTAGGCGGCATGTCATGAAAAACATTCATAGCTCGAGCAATGCCACAGTTCAAGTAATGGAGGCAGGATACTTCCGGACCTCTGGCAGTTCACACAAACATCGGAGGCCACATCATACCGACACCACCAAAGAGAGTGCATTTTTGTGTTCAAAATGTCAACCTCTCATAACAGCATTACCTTCACCACCATCATCATCGTCATACATTGCAACAATAGAAATACTGTTGGATTGCACTTTCTTCAAGCTTTCATCTTGTGGCATGTTTGTAGAAAAAATATATATAGAATACAAAAAGCTTATACTTCTTTGAGTAACAGAATATAACATACAGTACTTCAGATTACGTTTTGATCAGCACATCAGCAGGTGTACATAAATTGCCCTCCCCTTGCCCAAATGCAATTACCGGACTTAACAGGGATGTAGTTTTGCTTACTATTAAGCGCTTTGGTCAATGGGTTTAACATTGAGTATGCTCGTACAATGGTATTCTACAAGATGTTAATGCTACATAATTATCCACTGTATATGAATGTCTATTAAGGAAGGGGCAAATAGTCAAGATGCACCACGACTTTTCACATATTCACACGTGGCATTTACCCAAAAATGGTTTGGTCCACCAAACCGATAAGACGGAAACAGCCTGTTTACAGCACCATTTTCCCCCCCCTCACAAATGCACTACATAGTAGTAACCTATGGGGTTATATTTGTGCCTCATTCCTAAGTGTGCAAGGGACATTTTGAGCACAGAAAAATATTTTTTGCAATCACATAAATTCTATTTTGGAGAAAAAATATTAAAGCAACGAAGAATTAAAAAAAAAATCTATTTTGTGCTCAGTACATTTATTAGTTTCCTATTACGGACATAATTGCACAATGAAGACATTTTTTCACTCAGTTTTACTAATTTTCCCTCTCAATGTCCCTGCTCTCTGTGCTTACAAACCCATGGACACCACATCAGTGTTTCTCTTGCTCTAGACATCTCTTTGCTGGAGGTGCTTGGGTTTGTCTGTAGGTAATTTCTGATTGGCTATTTTATGTCCAATCTGATTGCTAGAAGTATTATTTGTTACTAGGGGAGTAGGGACGCCAACAAAATAATATGTTAAATTTAGATTTATTAAAAATGTACACATTGAGATGATAAAATAGATTTTTTTTACTGTTTTGCATGATAAATAATTTCTCTAATAAATATGATTTATCTGCTTGCAAAAAAAAACCTGTGCTCAAAATGTGCAATCACATACTCGGGGATGAGGAACAGCTATAACTCTATAGTAACCAAATAGATTTCTAACCTACTGGGCAAATTTTCAGAACTGAATAAGTCTTAACTAGGGAAATGGACAGACATCTCTAGCAACATCAACTCTGGTTGTAAAAGTCAAACAAAGGTGCAGCACCTGATGTCAGTGAGCAATTTTCTGGTTCATCCCTACCGAAAGCTGTCCATTAAACATATGGCAATAAATGAAATAACAAAAAAAGCATTAACTCTTTTTTTTTTCTTTTTTTTTTAAAGAAGTTCAAGCTGACATTCAAGTTCCGGTCCCACTTCAATCTGTGAAATCCCATTCACAAAAACCGATGGAATCACTGTAGTGCAAAACATTACACAATGCACCTCGATGCAGTCATTCTCGCAGGATACAGTAAACATGTCCTTTTGTCTCTTTCCGTTGGATTACATTTCTGGAGCGGCAGGCGGGAGCCCCGCTGTGTGTTTTGGAGTCTGTAAGAGTTTGTGTTCCTCTGCGTGTTGAGAAGGCGTGGCTGCAGCTTTGGCATGTACTGGATGTGACAGCCGAACATCCAGGGCGTCATTGTGTTGGGCTAAGGAGTGCAGGCGATAGTGCAGGACAAGGTCTTTCAGTGAGCAGTGGACGTCGTAGGGCTCAGCAAAGCCGTATCCGTGTGGTGTGCTGTAGACCATACAATGCTTCACTTCCTCATTCACACTGTAATAAATGAAGAAGAAAATCACATCAGTGAGTGTCACACATTTACACCAAGTGTAATATTCATCTCAAAATTGATAAATTTTCCAGACACTGCTTTCCAAAATGTTATACTCACACAACGGAGCAGGCGTAGCATCCCTGTTTGCTGCTCTCACGGATGAGGAACGTTCCAGGAGCTTTCCCCTGAAGCATCTCCTCGGCCTGCGTCCGGCTCAGTTCACCAACAAACCAACTCGTCTCATCCTGATGTGGCAAGTTCTTCTCGTCTCCCTTTAACACGTATGTGCTGATAAAAAACAAGAGCCGTCTTGTAACACCTCTGTAACAGTTCTGTATTTCCTTTACAGTGGCATTTGTTAATACTGTATTCAGAAGAAATTTGTTAAAACTTACTCATCAAGGCTTTCACTCTGCGTCCCCAGCCAATCATTTATGCGTTTCTGCCGTACACCTTTGTGATTGAGCCAGCTGCAAGGAGAGGTGCAAAGAAAGGTTTCATTTTAACATAAGATAATTCTACTTCACAGAGCGGCTACAGAAATGTTTGCTTCTTTATGGGTTTACAGTGATTTACCACAGATAACACATACAATTTCCTGACGCTACTTACTTGAGGTACTGGTCTCTGATGTTGCGTAGTTGGATGAGGTCAGGCCGCAAGCTGTTCATTTTCCTGTCTGTCTCTCTGTAGTCCTCCACCTGCGTTCTCAAATCTTCCTCCAGATGGATTTTGCTGTCGTAGATCTCCCCAAGGCGACACTTCAGCTTCTCATAATTTATCAGAAAGCTAACAAAGTAAAAGTCATAGGTTTGAACAGAGTTCAATAAACATGGGCGCCATGCACCCAAATTAAACAACATTTGTGGATATTTTGTGGACCGTGGTGTAATGAAGTACCTCTCCAGATCTTTGTCGGCTCCCTCAGACTGATTGTTCCTCTCAAACTCCTCTCCGTAACGCTCCTGTTCACGACACTGCTCCTCGAAGATCAGCATCGTCTCATTAAAGGCCTCAATAGCTGTTCGCTTCATCTGGATCTCCTGTATCACAAAGAATAGATCCAATAAGAAGAAAACTCAGGAGACTGATGAATGTAAATTCTACTGTTTAGGAAAGTATTAATGATTTGGTCTTAGCACAGACCATCAGAGTTAATTTAATACGTTTTTTACCTGTGAGGTCTTCGTGAAAGCTTCATAAAGACGATCGAACTCTTTTGTCTTCTCTTGATACTGACTGTGAACCTCCTTGAGCTTTCTTCCAGCGACATCAACATTGTCCTCTTTAACCTAAAGTTAGAAATGACACTTAAATATGAACAATTCATAGCCCTCCCCGGTATTTAACAAACGTCTCTATCATCACTTGTCAAATATTTTTACAGTGTCAGATTGCTGCACAAAAATGTAACATACTGGTGGTCACTAACCTGCTGGAAGCGGGACACAGGATGGGTGAGCATTAGGTCCAGTGTGGCGTTGTATTCCACCAACGGATGGTGCTGATAGTGCCAAATGAGCTCCACCACTGAAGTGAATGTGAGGGGGTCCGAGAAGCCGTACTTCCCGTCACGGTGGTAAATCTTGATCAGCTTGTTGTGCCCGTCTTTCCTGAGAATGTGAAACGTTGTAGCACAAAATCAGATTGTTAATTTAAAATAAAACCCTGTTGATGACATTTGTGGTAGTGCAGTGATAGGAACGAGTATATTCTCTCATTCTTCTGCTTACCTTAATGTCAGGGTAAAGTCTCCTTGCAGCTTTGTGGACGCGTCACGCACCAGAAAGGAGCCATCAGGTGTGTCTCGGAGCTTCTCATTTACTTCATCCCTGAGGGGAAATCAGTTAGTGGTTAACAAAGCTAACATACCAGAACATTAAACAGTACATACTGAGCAGACGCCAGTGTTTGTGTTTGATAAAGCACTGTTAATGTGAAGAAGCTTTACCTGGCTATGTCTCCCCAGTACCATTCAGCATCCTGTAACGAACACGCAGGTGGCAAAAGGCAGTTGTTGTTCACGGTGGAGGGCACGGGCTTTGTTGACCTGGGAGGGAGAGCTACAAGCAGAAGAGAAAGAGAGATGAGAAAATGAAATGCAAGGGATCAGGATAACTTCGATAATTTAGATCTCTCAAAAATTGATCTGTTGTGAGGTCAAGTGAAGCACTGTAAACATGACTCCCTCAATATTATGATTATTGCAACCAAGGATGTGTGTGTGTGTGTGTGTGTGTGCGCATGTTAAGGAAAAACAGTGTTCCTAAATGTATACAACCCCCGCCAACCCCCACCCCGCCTCCACCACCAACACACACACACACACCAGCTTGATGGAGCCTGTCAACATCTGAAGACAAGTCCAGGCATGTTTCCAAGACATATCACTCATCAAATCATTACCAACATCTTAAGTGTGGTCAGCACTGAAAAGGGAAAAGTGATAGTTCATTTCTGAGCAGTCAACAATTGTGAAATGTGTTTTCCTTTAATTATTCTAGAAATTCTCACAATTGGGCTTTCAGTTGCCTGTATGCAACTCTTACAGTAGCCTTTGGTACTGTCCTGAATTGCATGAAAGGCATTAAATAAACCATAAGTTATATTTTGAACCACTTGATCATCCCTCACATTTTATAAGGATTGCACCAACCAAGATCCTCTTAAGGTTTCCGTCAAGCTTTAAGGAATAAAATCTGTGAGTCTGGCCGAAAGATTAAACACTTTCCTAAAAATGAAAAAAGGAGGGCAACCTCGCATCAAGAGGAGGTGAAGGGCGATATATTTCACTGCAGGACAAAAGTGCCTTTCATGAGGCAGTTGGGGAGAACACAAGAGCACCCTCAGAGAGGAGAAAATGTGGGTTTCTCCCACCATCCGCTCTCCTCTTTTTCTGACCTTAAAATAAACAAAAGGCAGGTGCAGCAGTACAGTGGCAGGCACAAAACGAAAAGCTGCGGCTCCTGAACTCAGCAAAATTAAATCTGCACACCTTCCCCTTTCTGTCTCCTGCCAAGAAACTCTACTGGCTTCCAAAACCCACATGCGCATACCAGTACAGACAAGAGCTAGGCGGAATAATAAAAACTATCAATTCAGTCCCGCTGAAGCCTGGTTCACTCTGTGTCCAACCCAGAAAACACACAAAAGGTTAAAAGATAAGTCTTAATAACCAAACACAGGAATTGTCACTACAACTTTCCTACAACACAGACCTTACAGGGACATATTTGTCTTATTATGTGCCACTTTAAGTTAACACTTGTATTTTATCAACTGTATTCAATCTTAAAGTGATCAATGTAGTATGGAAGCTTGCATTATGGTACCATTATAATGAGCTAAAGTCAACTGAATTTAACTAATAGCTAGGTAGGCTAGTTATTTTGAATAAGACATAACAGGACTGAAACACAAGTGTTATAATACACTGTTAGGACAATGTAACAGCGCGTAGGTCAAATGACAAATGTAAATAAAAAATGAACTGTTGTTGAGTTGCCAGAGTTTAGTCATGAGACGAGCTGTCTAGTCTTCTTGCCTCTAGCCTACTTTCAGAGCTAGCACACAAATTAACCACGGCTGGCTGCAGAGGAGAACAAAGCGGTCGTTTCATGCGGCGCTCATTAACGCACCCTCAACTATAGTCCCGTCCAAAAGCTCTCTTTACACTTTCGTGCACATTTAGTAAATGTTTTGGCTTAGGAGGGGATGCAAAACCGCCATGCATTTCTGTCCAAGTTTGTCATATGTGCAGGGACAAAAGAAAAGGCAAGCCACTGCGCCTGGTCCACCGAAAGGTATTACGTAATTGGCAAGTGAATTGCGCTATGCATGCCTGGGCAAAGCCACTGGGGGAGCGCAGCGCTGAGGACCTGGCCATTATAACGCTTTACTAACACCTGCACGGCGTTTGTCAGATGTCAGCTTTATTACATACATTACACGAGATGATGGCAGCAAAAGACAACAGCAGAAAACAGAATAAAACGTTTCCCGACCCCCCGCAGATCAGACAATGGCTGACTTTAACCCTAACTTACCTGGTGGTGCTTGATCCATTTCGATGTAGAATAAACCTCCGGAAGGATAAACCATTCCTGTTCCAAAAGAGTAGTCCAGGTTGCTGTTGTTGTTTTTGCGCGTCGCTAAAAAAAAAGAGAAAAGAAATGCACGTTTCTTTTGCCGCAAATGAACCTAATTTAGGCTAGTCGCAGACGCCACGTCCTATATAAATGTGGACAAAAGGAAAACTCCTTCGATCCCGAGTCCATAAAACATCCCAAAGTCCAAATGTGTTGTCTGAACATAGCCTGTCTAACTTGGCTTTTTTTTCTTCAGACAGAGGGAGAGAGAGATTGTCAGTTCATGCCTCCTCGCTGTGCCGCGGAGCTCTACTTTACTTCATCTCGGAAGTGAAGCGACTTTAAAGGGCTGTTCGCTACATCATCTTGGCACGGTCCAACCTGCTTCCACAGTAGGGGATTTCTTTTCCTTGCAGGATTCATTGTCACGTAAAACACTTCCAGTCAATGTTATATTACATGGTTAAATAAAAAACAAGCCTTTTTAATATAATCTGAAATATAATATTGTGTCTGCTGAATTCCACTTGCAAATACTTGTGTGCGCCACATTAGTAACCTCTAAATTGTAATGGTACAGCCCAGACCGTTTCATTCAACTCTCCTCAAGCTGCACTGTAACAGCTGAAAATTCCTTTCAGGGCATGAATGGAAAAGAAAAACCTAGTCTATTAGCTTGAATGATCAAATAAGAACATGGTCTAACATGTACCTTCAATGTTTTAATACTTTAAACAACTAGGAATTAAAGTTTTTTCTGCCACTTTAGATTTGCCCCAATTTACTGCTGAGTGAAAAGGTTGCAATAGAATTACATCATGCTATTTAGGTAATATGGCAATTAACCTGTCTTCAGCTGTTTGGCATCCACAGAACACCAGGCTAAAACCCCTTTGTTTGAGAGGTGACAGAGTAGCCAGCCAAGGTAGCAAGTGTGTATTATATTCTTGTTGAGCTTGTCAAACACGTTCAGCCGCCACTCATAATTATTGCTGCTCTGAGATCATCCTGTTGAAGACGCGATATGTAATAGGTGTGTTAACACAGATATACATTAGTGACTTGAAAGTGAATGCAGGGCTGAAAGACTTGGTGGTTTTATCGTGAGACATTCTGCTTTTGAAACAGAATGACAT